GGGATTCTTGGAAAAGTTTGGAAAGTGATGTCACCCATTTTAGTGGTATGTGGGATGTCACGGTAGCTTCCTAAACACAACTTCATAGTTGGTGTGTGCTCCTCAAAGCCTTCCGAATGTTTTGGTAATCTTAATTTTAGTTACAGAAAAAGGATTTGGTGGTTCAAAATCACCTTGGTTCTGTACAAGCTGGGTTCTAGGAAATTAGATCTGTCTTCCAACTTAAAAGCCAGAGGTGAGTGCAGATGGCCCTCAACTAATAAGGATTCCGCTGTGAAATCAAGATGCATTCAGTGGAATTTTGACCTTCTCAGCTGATGTGTAGAACAATAATAAGCCCTTGATGGAGGACAGCAGCAGTGACCCACAGCACCTAGCCAATCATGTGTTCATGGGGTAAACCCATGCTACTTCACTCTGGGCTGTGTTGTGGCTAAGTGTATTATTGCTTTTTTTTTTTTTTTTCCCCTTGAGGCTTTTTTTCCTTGCAGTGTACCCTAAGCTAGCTCTGGTACTCACTATGTAACCCAGGCTGATCTTGAGCTCATGGCAATCCTCCTGCCTCTTCAGTGCTAGGATTACAAATTGTGTTACGGCACCAAGCCGAAATGCGTATTTTTACTTCCACTATTTACCATGAACAAAGACGTGTATCAGGATATAACCCCATTATAAATCAAGTAGTGTGTGTGTGTGTGTGTGTGTGTGTGTGTGTGTGTGTGCTTCATATACTTTTTTTGTCAGGAACAAAAAGCAAAATGAAACAAAACCTTGCTCAGCGTCAGGTGAAAAAAAAAGTAGGTACAAATGGCTATCTGGTGCCTCTTAGCATACCAAAGTCCATGCTGGCCTCTAGGCTTTCACAGCTGCCCCTCTCACCCACCCTCAGCTTCTCATTCCTAGAGAATCCTGTCATTTGAACCATGCACTCTCTCAGTTCTCTCTTTGCTCTTCCTCTCTTGGTCCTCCACTCTTTGTTCTCTCTTATCTTCCTCTCCTCTCTTTCTCTCTCTTTCCCCCTGATCCATTCTGCTGGTCTTGTTTGGTCTACTACTTTCTCTCACTGCTCTCTGGCTGTACTGTGTATTTATCTACAATAAAAACCTCCGCCATACCTTGGAGTGGCCATGTCCTCATTTTACACAGTTAGGATCTTTGAATTTCTGTGCCCAAGAAATAAGCTCCAAATATAATGGTGTGCACTCTTTTAATCCCAGCACTCTTGAGGCAGAGGTAAGTGATCTCTCAGTTCATTGCCAGCCTGGCCGGTCTACATAGCAGTTCCAGGATGGGGCAACAACAAAGAGAGACCCTGTCTGAAAAAAACAAAACAAAACCAAAAATAGATAAGGTAGAAGGGTAAGGGTGTATGTAGTATAGTTTGTGTTTGCCTAGCACACACAACGCTCTGGCTTAGATTCTCAATATCGCATCAATGGATCGTGGTCACCCATACCTACAATCCCAGTACTTGGTAAATGGTGGTGTGGTAATCCAAAGCTTGAGGTCATCCTGGGGTAGACAGCCGGATTGAGACCAAGCCCTGATTACAGGAGACCCTGTTTCGAAAAGGAAAAGGAAGGGGGAGGGGCGGAAGCCAGGTTGGGAAGTGACCTTGAGACTCAAGAGATGGCAAGGTTTGGGAGGAGCCCAGATGCTCTGGAAGCCTCAGCTCCCTCGCTTAGAAAGACAGCAGGAAGAGCAGCTGAGCTAGTTAGAATGTTTGGCAGAGGGGTTAGGGAAACTTGAGCTCTGGGAGGCAGATGTTATTGCTTGTTCATAGCAGACTCCTGGGGAGAGCCAACAGTATAAAGCATACAGAGGCATGTCTTCTTCTACAGGGATGATGGAGCTGGGTAAAGGCAGGCAGAGAGAACGAGAGGAGGCCTGGGGATGGAAGTTGCAATCACCAAGCTAGGCTATTCCAGATCCATTTATATTTCTTTTTTTTTCTTTTTTCTTTTTTTGCATCTACCATGAATTTTAACATCTTGCTTATTTTAAAGTGAGGTCTTTCTCTTTGTCAAGCATCTGCCTGAGGAAGTGAATCTCAGGAGTAAAAGTTGGGAGTCTGATGGAAGTCCTGTGGGGCCTTTCTCTGTTGGGTTACTGTACTGAAGTAGCCCCTGTGTGATAGGAGACGAGCCAGGGGAAGTTTGTAATTAAGTTATTTGAAAGTCCTGCTGTAGCTCTAACCTGTTCTCACCACTTTGTCTATATTTGCCCCCTTTCAGGATTTCTCCAAAGTTCAGTGCCCATTTAGTGAGAAGAATTTAATTTCTTATTGCCCAGGCAACAAAGCCCTGGTCCTTAAATTTCCATGCAGAAGGGATAAAGGGATAAAGGTGGTACTCCCCTTAATATCCTCTTGGCCTAATTGTCAGTGACATTTGGGGGATGATCCCCTCCTAAATTCAGCCTTCTATCTGAACTAATATTTTCCTCTTGCATAACTGGGGATAGATTTTACAGGACTCACCTTCTCCTAATGAAGTTGTGCCTTCCAGACTTCATTTTCTAATCTTTTTGGGTGTTAATTTGTTAGATTCATGCTCCCCCCCCCAACCACTAGCACTGCTACAACAATTATATAAAAAAAAAGAAATTAAAAAAAAAAACATTCTTCGAATGTCCTCATTGCATTCCAAGATATTGCCAAGGGTCAAGAGGTTAAGGAGCAGCGGAAAGAGATGCTTGTGTTTGTTTGGTGTTTCCCAGTCAGGGAATTCAAGGGACCCACTTGATCAGGGGTTCAGGATGCTCTTGCTCTGTGGGTGGCTTGACTGTCCTGAAGATCACTGGGAACATGGAACAGATATTGACAGAGGCATGCATACAGCCAGGACTAGCTAGAGGTGTGGAAGCCACATCCTAAGGTGGCGTTTAATCCCATGTGGCCTAAAGGGTACATGCTCTGTATATAAAATCAAAGACATACACCACAGCTTAAAGATGTATCCTGTGAATGATGTATGTTCACAAAAGGCTATTTGCTTACTTGTTTCATTGATTGGTTTGAAGTTCTGAGGATCAGACCCAGGGCTTTGCACAAGCTAGGTAAGCTCCTTGCCACTGAGTTATACCCTCATCCTACACAGAAGGCCCTTCAAGAAAAGCTGTCGTAGGATTAAAGCCGCAGTGCTTGTGATGAAAGCATTCAGTGCATGTTAAAGACTCAGATTAGACACGAGGGGATGTGGCTCAAGGAAGAATAGCCTTTATGGAGGAAAAGAACTGATGATGCAACAGCAAACACCTCTTCATCTAGGAAAACAATCCTTATGTATAGAAAGAAGGACAACTTGACATTTTATCACCTTTCTCTGTTTAAGACCTAGCTAGGGAGACTGAGCCACTGGAGAGACTGGAGCCCTCTTTATCTGCAGAGTGCTGTTTATCAGTGACTGCCAGTGATGGCTGCAGGTTTTGATGCTAGGACCGCTGATGGCTGGTATGTAGCTGCAGCTTCTCCAATCCAGGTAAGATGCTTTCAAAGCCAGGTGGTGTGGTGGCTTTAATTCCAACACTCCGAAGGCAGAGGCAGGGACATCTCTGAGCTCAACTCACTCTGGTCTACAGAGTGAGTTCCAGGACAGCCAAGGCTACACAGAGAAACCTTGTCTTGAAAATTAAACAACAACAAAAATGCTTTCAAAAGGCTTTTGTAAAGTGAATTGTTTTTCCCCCAATAGACAAACTTACTGGCCCTTTAAATAATTTATATTTGAATTAAGATTTTTTTTTAAATTAAAAATCTATACAATTAGTAAGAGTTTGAAAGCAGGGGTGTGGCCAGTGGAAGAATACTTTCCTAGCACACTCAATGCCAGAGGCTTGATCCATAATACTACAAAAGAAAAAAAAAATTAGAAGACGTTTGTCTTATGGGGAAGGTTTGTAAAGAGAACTCTAAGGATAGCACTTTCTATTCGTTTTTGCTTTCCTTTTTTCTCCCCCCCCCCTTCCGATGGATACCATCACAAATCACACATTCCTGGGAAGTTCTAATCACACTGGTGGATGTGCAAACCCCTGTTTCACTTCCTGCACCATAACAGCAAATACCATATCCAGCATATTTTCCTTCCCAGCCAGGAAGCAAGGGATGGATTTCCTGCTAACCCATCTCAGTTCTGAGAAACTGTTCAAGGACTACATCAGGTTTGTCTGCACCACTTTGTTGATCTCATTTCCTTGACCTCAGCATTCCTGAAACTCAAAGGTGGTTTCTAGGCCTGTGCTTCACAATGACTTGTTTCAACAGGCTTCTCAGAAATAGATTTGGTGTGGCGTTTTAGCTCTTTATTCGAAAGCACTTCCTATTCTGTGGAAGTTGAAGGGTGGTGGAAATAACCCTGGCCTTTGCAGACTGATATTGAGCCTGAGAATTAGAAACTGGGCTCCTGTCCAGTGACTGTGGGCTGATAATGAAGTCCCAGCTATCAGGAAACTGGATCCTGGCCTGCATAGGGGGGAGTGACACACAGAATGGCTTTGTTTTTCGGCCAGTCTGTGGTCTTTCCAGGTCATCTGGGACTTAAGATGGAGGGTGAGGGCCTGCCTCCTTCATGGAGCAGTGGCTTGTCCTTGTCCAGCCTGCTCTTGAGTAGCACATGGTCAGTCAGTCTTTATGGTTAGACACTTCCACCAGTACTCTAGAGAGGTTGACTTGGAGCTTGCACTATGGCTGGCATAGAGATATCGCGTACTGGAAGTGATGTGTGTTGAAATCTTACATTTGTTTCCTATTATCTCCATGGTCTTGAGCAAGCCTTTTGGATTCTTTAAGCCTCATTTCCACATATGTAAAACATGAGGATTTGGCTGGGAGGTAGTGGCACACACATTTAATTCCAGCACATGGGAAGCAGAGGCAGGCTGATCTCTGTGAGTTCAAGGCCAGCCTGGTCTACAAATTGAGTTCCAAGGCAGCCAGGGCTACACAGAGAAACCCTGTCTTGAAAACAAACAAACAAACAAACAAACAGAAACAAACCAAAACTCCCAAACCAAAAGCCAAGTAAGGATGCTTTATCAAATTGAGAGAATTCAGTAAAATGCAAGTGTAGAGTGCTCATGTTAACCACACAGGAAAACACTCACTGTAGGGGATTCAGAGCCCTCCCTTCTTTTTTCTATTTTTTCTCTGCCTCCACTCCTGTGAGAGCCAGCAAGGAGACAACTGAGCGGTGTGAAAGCCATTTGGGCTCCTCAATGCTCCAGATTGCCCACCCTCACCCCAAACCTGAAGTGGAGGGAGTTTCCCCTACACAAGACTGTGCAGTTTTCTGCCCATGCTCTACTCTCTCACAAACACTGTATGGCTGGCCTATTTCCTCTGCCGTTCTTGCTATGTTGGTACATGGGCATCACACAGTCTGATCGTGGTCACCTTGGTGCTGTCTCTTCATCCTTTATAATTGTCTCCTCTGAGACAATTTTTTGAGGAAGTTTGGAAGCATTGGGAAACAGAATTAAAGCAGGAAGGTGCTCTGAGTGAAGTAGCTATAAAGGCCAGGCATAAGGGCAGGACCACCCAAGGAAACAGAGTACGGAGGGCGCACAAACTTGATGATGAAGAATCTCATGGTGGGTAAGGACCTCCAAAAAAAGGTTTCAGAAGAAGAGTCAGGAGCTGGTGAGGACCTCCCACCCTTAGGAACAATTTGGGTTCTTCAGAGTTCCGTTTGAACCCCATTCCCTGTACTAGAACACTAATTTATGTATCCATCCTGCCTGCTATGATGATATTTATTTTTCTACTCCGACAAGTGTGCTGAGATTGTTTTTCTTTTTTCTTTTTGAATCCTATATTTGGGTTTTAGAGTGTTGGTGGTGGTCTATAGTCTTTCAAGATGGCCTGCTTCTTGTATCTGAAGTGTAGGGAGACTCCCTTGCAGAATATTACTGAGATAAAAGGCTAGAAGGATCTGGCCAGTGCCCAGACTCATGGTATTGACTTAGCTGTATTTGGCAAGAATTGAGTTTGGCAAGACTTGTTTTTGTTTGTTATTTGTTTGTCTATTTGTTTTGGCTGACTTCATCCACAAGCAAAGAGTTAACTTGTAGGTTCTATTATGATCACAACTAGCCCCAACAATGACCTTCCCTGCCTGGGAAAAACTGATGTGAAGAATGGCAACAAAACAGACCAGAACAAAACAAAACAACAACCAAACAAGTAAAAATCCAGACGTCCCACAGGGGTCTTCCTGTGGCCATTTGGAGACAAAAGCACAGAACAGGTTTGATGGGGGTAATGGCCCTAACGTTTATTCTTAGGTGCGGAGTGATGGGAGGGAGAGGTGCAGAAAAAACTGTCCCTCTTGCACACAGAGTCCTGTCTCCTGGAGAACGAATAATTGTTCCTTGTTTTCAGCAGCTGAAAAAAGTCTGCCTCATCCTCCAGCCTGCATTTCAGCCCCCTCAAAACCACATCTCCCAGGAAGCACTCTGCAATAACTGTCCAACAGACCCTGACCAGAGAAGTTCTTGTACTCCTTATATTAGCTTGATTGTGTTGTGGGAAGGAGGGGAGAACACAAAGCAGGGGTGAGGGTGAGGGCTCTGAATTGCACAGCCTGGCACAGGGTGTGTTGGGCAAGGTGGTCTCCAGGCATTCACACTCTCCTTCCTTCCCTTCCTCAGCTCTGAGGACGCTAGACTCTGATGGGCCAATCCCACCACCAGGCCCAGAGGCATCAAATCCAAGAACAGAACTGCAAGAATATAGACACAAACACCAAACACACTGGGGGTGGGCTCCCAGGCAGATGCTCCTTAGGTCAGGGTCATTTCTCAGCCCTCTGCCTCTGTGGTACGGGCTATGCACAGTGGGGAAGCTGGGGGGCTCTGGAGCAGCTCAGTGCTGGGAAGAAATCCTCTGTTCCTCAAGGCTGTAAGGAACGCAGGCACCCGGGATGGCTTATGGGCAGCAAGAGGGGCTAGGAGAGTGGACGGCAGTTTCCTAAAAGCAAAGTTCTAGCTGCCCCTGGTGCCTGTGCGAGGACAAGGTGGTTGAAAGACCTTTAGGGAAGAGCAAGAGACAAAGGTATCCAGCCCTGAGCACTACGCACTCAGCCGCATCCTCTTCGTTTCCCATCTGGGAGCCAGATTTGTGCTTAATTAGAGCTTCGAAGGAAGGTGGTAACAGAGGTGCACAGAGGCCACCCTGGAGGCGGCCAGTTCTAGGGTCCTCTGCAAAGCAGCCCCAGTCCGCAGAGAACGAGAATGTGCCCTGTCCTCCTCCCTGGCCCATCCCCACCACAGTGTGTGATCTTCAGACGTGAGTCTGCATCCGCCGCTGCAGGGGTCGACTGGGGTCGGAGTTCTGGGAAGAGGACTGGGAATGGTGGGAAGAGGAGGCAGAAGCCTTGCTGGCCTTATCGAACTGCACGTAGCCGTCCTGCTTGCCGCTGCTGCTGACGCTGCTGTCACACTGCGTGTCCAGGAAGGAGCTGCTATCGCTGAGGGAGCCCCTCTGAAACTCTCGCTCACAAAGCTCAATGGAAGAGCTCCCCATGCCCAACACGAACCTCTGTCCATAGTCGTAGAGGCGGCTCTGGCCACTCAAGGTACTGTAGATGTTGGTGAAGGACATGCCTGTGGGTACACGCTGTTTGCCTGTAGGTCGCAGGTCTGGCTGGCAGCTGGACAGGGAGATGGTTGGAGTTGAGTGGTGCTCTTTGAAAGTGTTGACGCTGTAGTAGCCATTGGTGGGGTCCTGAGTAGGCAAGAACAAGAGGCGTTTCACCAGGGAGCTTTCACTGGCTAGGCTGACCAGTCTGGCTTTGCACAGGGGAGGCACAGAGGGAGGGAAGGATTGGGGAGGAAGAGTACTGGATACAGAAAGGGTTAGCATGGCAGGGATGCTAGCAGAGCCTGGCAGGTGCCCACTTGTCAGGAGGGACGGTGACGGTGTTCCAGACCTGGTTTACATGTGGGCGATTTAAGATCATTTGAAAAGCAGCCTTTAATTAATTTTGTGCATTTGTCCAGAACATGAATACTGGCTTTTCAAATCTATTTGTTACAAGACTGTGGGAGAGAATTGTAGGAATCCAGCCTTAACTCAGTGTTGGGGCAAAGAGAACAACTACTTTCAGTCCCTTTCCCTTAGACAGTGACACCTGTCCCCAGGCTGGCCTTGGGCCCTTCCATTCTGTTTGGTTCTTTGTTTGGGTAAAGGGTAGGTGGGGCCATCATCTCTGTAGTTCAGACCTACTGTAGCTACTCTTACCTTCAGGTTCTGAAACTCTTTCTCCTCTTCTTTGAGGACCTCTAGCTGCTTCAGCACCGAGTCTTGCTGGAACTCACCCCGATCCATCTACAACCCAAAAATGTAGGTGGGCTCAACTCCACCTCCTCCCAGGAGAAGATGAAGAAATGAGTTCCAAGGAATACCATACATGTCTCCTGCATGGCCTGGACTGCAGAAAGGCATGTGAAAGAGTTGGATACAATTCTAGATCTCTAGATGGGGGTTCTGGATACCCCCATCCCAGGACAGAGACAGAAGGGGGAGGGTAGAGGAGGCATCGGTATAACTGTGACAGGACCTTGTTTTCTTCCATCGGACCTTGTTTTCTCCCAGGAACACCTTCTCCAGACTTCTCATCTGAATATTTGTCGAAAACTGCTGGTTAGGCCCTGCACCAAGAGTCTTGTATAGGCCAAATAAGACTCAGTGAGATAGAGCGCTGACCATGAGCGAGATCTACCTGAGGAAAGTAAGTACCTGCAGAACATCAACACTATAGAGCAGGCTCTTTAGGGCAGTCCTTCAACCAGAGCCAGGATGTTGGAAGGAATCTGAGTTGAGATGCTGGCAACATGAGTGCTATGGTTTGGATCTGAACTATCCCCCCAAAGGCCATTTGTTCAAGGCTTGGTACCCCATCATGTGGCACTATTAGGAGGTAGTGCTTAGTAGAAGGAACTGAGGCCACTGGAGGTGTACCCTAGAAGAGGCCACTGGAATCCTGCACCATCTTGTCTCTCTTTGCTTCCTGGACAACATAAGGTAGACAGTCTTCTCTGCTTGCTGCATGCTATTGCTGCAGTGTTCTTCCTTGATGAGGGTCTGAAGGCCTCAGGATTGCAGGAACATGAAATGAAACCATGAGCCAAAATTTAAAAAGCAAAAATAAAAATAAACTGTTCTTCTAGGCTGGAGAGATGGCTTAGAGGTTAAGAGCACTGGTTGTTCTTCCAGAGGTCCTGAGTTCAATTCCCAGCAACCACATGGTAGCTCATAACCATCTGTAATAAGCTCTGGTGCCCTCTTCTGACATGCAGGCACATATGCAGGCAGAATACGATATAAATAATAAATACATCTTTGAAAAAAAACTTTCATTTTATTTTTTAATTAATTAATTAATCTCTCTGTATATGTGCACATGCAATTATATATATGCATGTCACAGGGTGTGTGTGGACATCAAGTGACAATTTTTAGGAATTGGTTCTCTCTTTTCCTCCTGGTTCTGGGGTTTGGACTCAGATTGTCTGAGTATCCCTGGCTTTTACCTTCTGAATCATCTCACCAGTGTTGGTTTTTGTTGTTGCTGCTTAGAGATAAAACTCACTTTGTAGCTCAAGTTGATTTATGGCAATTCTCCTGTTTGAGCTTCAGAGCCTTGGGATTAGAGGTATAAGTCAGTATGCCTTTCTTCTTCTTCTTCTTCTTCTTCTTCTTCTTCTTCTTCTTCTTCTTCTTCTTCTTCTTCTTCTTCTTCTTGTGTGTGTTGTATGCACAGCTCTGTGTGAATAAGTTGTGTGTGTGTGTGTGTGTGTGTGTGTGTGAGAGCACATGTGTGTTTAGGCCAGAGGTTGACGTTGGGTATCTTTTAAAATCATGCTTCATCTAATTTTTTGAGACAGGGTTTCTGAGCCCAGAGCTCATCAGTTTAGCTAGGCTGGCTGGAAAGTGAGCACCAGTCAGTGAGCCCAAGGGATATTCCTGTCTCTACCTCCTGGAGACTGGGATTACTGATGTATGCTTTTTTCACCTGAGTTCTGAGAGAGTTGAACTCAAGACCTCACGTTTGTGTGTCAAGACAACCATCTCAACCGGGTCATCCCTGCAACCTTGATTTTCTCAGTGTTCTGTCATAGCAACATAAAGCTGAATAAACAGGTCACACCTTTTCTCACAGCAGTGACTCAAATGAACCGGAAAACTGTCTTCCTTGACATATGCCAAACAGCCTTAGGGGAAAGGCTTCAGTCTCTTTTAATCCCCACCACACCTTGGTGTTAGGGCCTTGCATATTGTGGTCACTGACCAGAATGCTTCTGGCCAGGGTGAGTGCAGCGCTTAGAGTTTGTGAATGAATGAGTAATGGTTAGGTGTAGGATCAGGGCAGAGCTTCAACAGTGTGCAGTGACTGTATAAAGTGATCAGGGATCATGGAGATGCTTCCCTCACACATAAGGCACACCATGCCTGCTGTGGCACTCTGGCACTCAGGCTCCAACCCAACTCTCTGAGCAGGGTGTTTTGTTGGTCTCTGTTGCATCTCAGTCTTGGAGGCCCAAAGAATAGGCCAGCGTGCTTTCATCGTGTTAAATTCCCTCACCAATTGCATTATTTTTTTTCCTTTGCTTTTTCAGTAAATGTTCCGGTTCCACCTAGATTGTTGTTGTTCTTTCTCACCAGATATAATGTCTAAGGTTACTTCCCCTTGATGATGGAGTATTTCCCAGATCATAGGGTATAAGATCTCCCAGTGTGGAGGAAGGGGACCAGTGAATATCTTTCCACGGGAGACTCGTTACAGAGAGCCTCAGCAAGTCCCTTCTGCCGAATTATCCCCTCTGCTCTGCCCAAAATACTCAGGCACACCTGCCCTCTTCCTGAGGTTATGACTTTGAGAGAAAAAAAAAAAAAAGCCTCCTTGGGAGAGACCTAAAAGGCCCCATTAAGGATGAGAGGTAAACCTGATGAAGCTTAAGTAGTATCATTTCCTTCTCAGGTATGGGGTGGGGCTGCCCTCCTGTACGAAGAAACGCTCTGCTATGTCAGGCACTGTGTTAGAGAGGTTTCCCCCGGGAAATACATGACCTTTGCCCTTGAGAAGCTCTGGAGTATCTGGAGAGGATTCTATATCCAGCAGTGGGCTGTGAAAGAGGTTCATAGGGAGTGAGTTGAGCAAAAAGCGCACAGCCTGCCAGTGTGGATGACATTTGAACCAGTTCTTACTACAGGATGTGAAATTCAGCAGACAAGTCAACAGGGAGAGGGAATGTGGGTCTTTGATGTATAAAGGACTCTCAGGCCAGGAAGGAATCAGCAGCTCCTGGTGTGTCTGGAAGGCCAGATGTGTTTGGCTGGAAGATGGAACTGGAAAGACTGGCAGGTGCCTTGCAGCAAAGGGCCTGATGACACATTGGATGGCTGGACTTCATCCTGTAGACGTGGAAGCCGCTGGGGGACTTCAGCAGATTATCACGGGGCTAGGTTTACATTTAATATTTTATTTAGTTTGAGATAAAGTCTCCTTAGCTAGTTCAGACTTGCCTTAAGGTCACAGAGATACTACTGTGTGTTTCTGCCACTTGAATGTCGGGGTTACAAGTGTGGGATACCAGATTTGTGTTTCAGAATGACATTTTTTTTTTTAACAGAGCCACAGAGGATGGATTGTGACAAGTGACAAAGCCAAGTTCCATTACAGGGTTGCCGCAGTGTGCTAGGGGGCAATAGGAAGGCCCAAAATAAGGACAAAATAAGTGACTAAGGAGGAAAGTAGGACACATATTTGAGACATATTTTTGAAGCAGAATCGACAGACTCTGAAAATCAATTGAGCAGAGAAAGTGTAGCATAGAGAAAAGTCAGTTCCTCTCATCAAACATTTGTGAGCCTCTGCAAGGAACGAATAAGGCAGCAGTTGCTCCCCATCTAGTGGGTGGATTTAGAGCAACACAGTAGTTAGCAATTCCTGGGTTCTTGCAGGCAGGTCTCCGAATTCCTGGATTCCACACAGCAGATTCAGCCAACCATGGACCAAAAAGATTTAGGGAAAATTGCCTGTACCGAATGTGCGTATTTTACTTGCCATTAGTCCTTAAGCAATAACGGTACAGTAATTGTTTACATAGCATTTACATCATATTACATAGTATAAATGGAGATGGTTTATGTATGTGAACGGATGTGGTTAGAGTCTGTGTAAATGTTACATACTATTTTATACCAGAGACTTGCACATCCTCAGGTTTGGGTATCTGGGGATTATGGGACCAAACCCGGCACAGATGTCCAGGGAAAACTCCATTTTACCCCATATGTACTCAGGTTGTTATCCCTGTTATCCTGATGATGACCCTGCATATTAGGGTGTTCATATCCATTTCATAGATAGGGTCACTGGGGCTCAGAGGAGCCCATGTCTTTTATTCCGTGCTCTCTTGTCACTGTTTTCAGACATTGCCACCTGCTATAACGTGTTCTACGAGCTTCTGGCACTGTCGACTAGGCTTCCGAATAGAAAGTAGGGACCATTCTGGTCTTTGAAAGGAGGATCAAAAAGAGGTGGTGCCAGTTTGGTGCCGTTGGAGAAGTTTTGCATTTTCTTCTGGTGGCTATCCAGTTCCCAAAAAGAAATTGGTGCTTCCTGCAGATGTGTGTGTGCATGAGTATGTGTGTGTGTGAAGGGTGAAGAGGGAAAAAAATACATCACGTATCTATAATATCCCCCTTCCCTCGTGTGTAAGGCTGTATGTAGCTGCACATATAAATTTAAGCACAGGTTCTTTCCCTACTCAGTAGTCAGGATCCAGGTCAGGAACTGCATCATAGGTGTCTTTGGATCTCCCACATCACTTCACAGATGCGAAAACATTCATTGGCTGAGTGTGTGACCGGCTCATCGGGGCAGAGGGGTTTGCCTGGCCGCACTGCCTCCCAGCAGTAGGAAGGACATCAAGAAGTCTCTGTCCCTAGGGTAGAGTGGGGCATGGGCAGCATTCTTACCATCAGCTGCTTGATGGCGGTGTGATCTTCAGCCTCCCGACCAGAAGCTGGCTCCTTGTGAACAATCTCCACTCGGATATCATTTTTGGCTGATACAACCCCTTTGAGATCTGACATAAGATAGGAAAGTGTAGACAAAACAAAAACAAACAAACAAACAAAACCACTCAGTTTTCATCTTAAGGCAAGAAACGTCAACTGCCCCACAGCCCTCTGCTGTCACCCCTTTCCCCACCCTACCTCCGGATTTAACCGCCCCTCAGACTCTGACTTTTCAGTTTTGCTGGCCCCCATCCATAGAACTTTTGTAGAGAGCTACTGTTAGCTGGATGGGCCTTAGAGGCTATCCATGCTGGCATCCCAGCTTCCTCAGTATCTCCTGTGGTTGGAGAGGTCATCCTCATCCATCCCTCTACCTCACTTAGCTAGGCTCTGTCACCCTCGATCCCCGCTCCCTTTGAGAAGTCTTCACTGTCCATCTCTAGCTGCATTTGAGCTCTCCATTTATAGGACCAAAAACCTTAATGTTAAAAAGAACTTAAGCTCTTTTAGCCCAGGAGTACACGGGCTCCCTGGGCCTACAGGAGCAGCCTGTTTGACAAATCTTGCTGAAATACCCTCTCCTTTCATTTCCATGGAAAGGCAGCAAGGGAAATTCCAAGGTCATCTTGCTAGGTAGTCACAAGATGGTAAGGTTGCTTAGCTGGGAGTGGTGATTACGTGAGGGGAATCAGTGGCTTCCTTCCAAGCAAGTAAAGGGTGTTAGGCAGTCACAAACTGTCTTGTTGACTCAGTGCATTCTGATCCCAGAAGATCAGAGTTGGTTGGGGTCATAAGGCATGCCATCCTGAGGCCTTAAATACATGTGACTTGCCCAGGGTCACAGAGTTGAAGGTTGCATTTCTGTCTTTGACTTCTCTCTGCCATCCTACTTTTCCCTTACTCCTGCCAATCACATGTAACTCCAGAGCTGAGCCCAGTCCAGAAACCCAATGTACATAAATTCTTTAAGAAGAGTGCTGGCACTAGAGCTGTATTACCAAAGATAACAGATCTTTAAAAGTCTGTCCAGGGCAACTTCTCACACGCCTTTTTGCCCTGTGTGGGTGACTTGCTTTTCAGGTTAAGCTTGCCATCTTATAGAGCCAAAGAGGGTCAGACTATACTGTTCCCTCTGAGATTTTTTTTTTATACATCCCAAATAACAACTCTGTGTTATGTGTCCAACCCAAAGCACTACTGGCCTGCCCTGCTAGATGGAGGCTGGTTGAGTTCGGTTCAGCCTCAGTCGAGTTCCCACTTTCTGCCAGACACCCTCCAGGTGCATACTAATAAATACATCACACCCATCCCTGCCCCAGGAGCTCACAACACTGTTATGGCCCCTGTTCGTTGCATTCCTGCTTACTTGCTCTCCTGGGCAGTCTAAGCCTGGCCTTTTTCTCTGTCCCCCTCCCTGAGATCCCGGGTCTCCCTCCCGTACTTCTCTGGGAACGGGCACAGCAGAAGGCCACAATGGTTGCCATTAGGACGAGGAAGGCCACCCCAGCTCCTACGGCCACCCCGATGATGACGGCCATTGGCACAGACTCTGCGGGAAAGAAACAGACAAAGTTGATGAGAGACAAAGGAAACCTACGCTCCTGCTAGGACCCCACCCAGTCCCTTCGGTGCAGCCCCCACAAAGCTGGGGCCAGACCACTGCCATTCGGGCCCCTCTTGGGAATGCCTTCGTGGGGCCTGGGCAGGCACAGACAGTCCAATAGGAGTCAGCCCTGGATAGGAATGTTGAGACCGGATAGAGGACATTAGGGTTGGTGGAGAGTAGGGAGGAGCCAGGGGAAGGAGTAGATGCTAGAACAGACTGTGGAGAGCCAGGGGAGAGGAAAACTGGAGATGTAGGACGAGGCTAGTCTAATTTAGCTCTCTTCAGCATTACAGAAGGGGTCTATAATACATGCAGTGGCTGGTGAGTCATAAGTCCATGGCTTTTCTTTAGAAAAAAAAAAAAAAAAGGGGATGGTTCCTGCCCTTGTTTGTCTAGTTCCTTCCTCACTTCCCTTTCTGTGGTACAGGGAGGGTACATACAGACAACCAGTTCTCAGGGGTTTCAGCTGTGAGGCAGCTTCCCCCTCTGGCCTGCTCAGAGCCACTACACTCTTTCAAGGCCAGTCCTTCAGCATCTGCCACCTGTTCCAGCCATGAAGGGCCCAGAACTCCTCACCCTTGCTCATTCCCCAGTCTGTCTCTGGCCCTTGCCAGACGGGCAGGAGTGGTAGATGATGATGTGGGGCAGGGAGACAGGTTTTCCAAAGTGCCCTGCCCCTTCTATGGATGTATATGGGCCCCAAGCACATGATTCTAGGCCCTGAGCAGTCTATCAGCTCTGGGAAATTCTGAGGCTGGCTGAGACTGGGTTATAAACGAACTCAAGCCTCTCATTTGGTAAAGACACTGAAACCCAGAGAAGTCAAGTGACTATTTCAAGGACACACACAATGGCTAGTTCAATCCAGGCCTCCTCCATCTCATCCCAACCCCATCCTGCCCTGTTTTCTGTGTCACATGGCATCCTCCAGGCTGCTGGCCCGCTGTTCCCCTTGCTTCATCACACCTTCCGAGCATCTTACTCCTTGTCTCTTATCTGTCAAATGAAGTAGCAACAGTGTGCCTTCAGATGCTGCTGTGATGGGCTTTTTAGGTGAGAGAATGTGGGAAAGGTCTTGGGGCAGATGCCCAGCCCTCTTCAAGTATGTGTTCCGGTTACTTTGTGTGTGGCGAGGACAGTAACAGACAGAAGACTTAACAGAGAGAAAAATGCCCCTGAATGCCTGAGCTCCCGCTCCACCCACATTCATCAGGGCAGCTTAGATGACCTGCAGGAGGCGAGGTGTTTGTTCTGGATCTGTGGTTACAGCGTCATGGTTCTTTCCTTTTCTTTTTTTCTTTGGCTGTCTTGGGAATGAAACTCAGGTTTCATACATACTGAGTGAGTGCTCTGCCACCCTTACCCCTGTTTACTGAAGAGAAAGACACGCTGAAATTCTGGTTTCCCAAGCTGTTGCTATGACGTGAGGGGCACCTGCTAGGCAGACCTGGTGTCATACCACCCTAGGATTCACACATGAATTCTATTGTTACCTACCTACTAGTGGCGGAGACCACTGTAGACGTGACTGGAGGTGACCAAGAGGAGATAAAAATGGCAAATCACAAGGACTGAAAGGAGAACTGTTCGGGGGTTGTGCTCAGAAATCACGTCTGAGTAAAAAGATGTTATCTTAGCCAAGCTGGCTTTGACAAACAGGCGTTCCTGGTTAAACCTCATTAGTTCTGAGATTTACATTTCCTTGTTCTGTGTTTGGTTTAGCGCTCTCTTTAGTTTCCCAGGGAAAACTGAGAGGTATCACAGCTCATCTCAGACCCAAGGCATGCTCTCTTAACATCCCCAGGTTTCAACTTTTGGTCCATAACTCAGAGAGCCGAGGCAGCAGAATTATGGTCACTGCTGACTTGTGTGCCCCGTAAATCACATTTTCTTGCACTGTTAACAGCATGCGGTGTATGCATCTTGGGTAGGCAGCGGCAGAGGAAAAGGGTTCTGTGAAAGCAGGTGGTCCCCAGGCGGCATCCCTTACCAGGTCCCAAAATGTCTCTTCCTCTCCTGCCTTCTCAAATTTTGACTTAGGTCACCTTTTCTGGCTACTTCTTTCTGGGCAGACCATTCTTTTGAGAAGGACTCACAGGGGCTGTCTTTCTTACCTTCTCTCTGCCCATGGAAGGAGACTGGGCATGGCTGGGGAGGGGAGGGAACTTAGCTACCAAAGGGGAAAGAAGTATGAAATAGAGACAGGGGAGAGCCAGTGCCTCCATAAGACCTAGACTTCTAGAGGTCGGAAGATGTAGGGGCAGATAATTGCATACTGCCTCTGGATGGGCCACAGGGCCTCTGTGCGACAGTGGTGATCTAGGCGCTCTGAGAAGAACATGTGTATTCAGGGAGTGGGGGATGCGGGCCCGAGTGTAGCTCATTAAAGCGGTGATAGCGATCAGACAACCAGGGTGGGCACAGAACTGAGACAGAGGACACTCAGGCCTTGGCCAGCACCGCAGCATAGGATTCACTAAGCCCTGCTGTTCCTCTCTGGTGTCCTGCCTGGGGGCACAAGGGGACAGTTGTCTAGATGGAACAAATCAACCCCTAGAGAGAGCTTGATGGCTGATTTGACATGCGAGCCCTGGAGGGGCAGTGTCCAGCAACCTTTGGCTTGGTGATGAGATGATGTCCATGGCGGGAATACAGGGAGCTGGGAAGGCGATGAACCAGCAAGCATGGATGGAACGGGCCACAGGGCCCTGGGGAGCAATGTTGAACTGGTGATGTGCTGAGGAGGAGAGTTAAGAAGGGCCTGGAAGGGGCAGGGATGGGAACCAGGGCTTCTGAGGACAAAGGGTGGGAGCAGAGCGAGAGCTGTGTCCTGGGGAGGAAGGAGCCCTAGGCTGTGGTATCAGGCAGGTGTCTGCGGTCCCTGGACTCCAGCTGCTGGGAGCCCCTCTCCCACTGCTCTGACTGCACTAAGCCCTTGACACGGGGAGGAAGAGAACTTAGCAGCCTCCCTGCCCCCTTTTGAGCCCCTCCCCTACTAGCCAGTCCCTCCCTCCACCCCGGGCAGTTCTCATCGGCTCCTTCCGTACCTGCTTCCAGCCCGGCTCCCGACTTCATTTCCGAACCTGTTTGGAAATAAAGCAAGCGTCCACAGCCAGGGCCTGGCTGGCCAGGGTGGGGTGGGACGGGATTGGTCACCTGGAGGGGTGAAGGGGGATTCCCTTCTCTGTCTTGTCTCTGGGACCGCTCCATAGATCCAGGATTCCCCACCTGAACTGGAGTTCATTCAGCCTGCCCCTCCGGAGCAGGGGTAGGGACAGAGAGAAAAGTCAAACCTGGAGGAGAGGTTTTAGGGGCGGGTGGGACTACTAAAGGAGGGCACAGGGGTAAGGGCCCAAAGGGGAAGACAAAGAGGGTAGGCAACAGGGGACCAGGGAGGTTTGGATGATGTGTGGATGGCGTTATGCAAATTATATGCAAAGCGTTATGCAAAGCAGCACCTATTAGGAAGAGGTGTTTGGAGACACTGAGACTTTTGATCTGTAGGTGCAATCACAGCTACCTCATGATTTACTGAAGCTTTGTGGGGGGTCCAGCTGGGACCACTTGCTGGGCTTCCAATTTCTGATACAGAGGTCCAGGCCTGCTGAGCACCACCCCTGAACCCTGTGGTAGAGCACTGGCTAGCAGAGGGAAGGCCTGCAGCCCAATCCAGAAACTAATGTGCTATGTGCCGAGTGAGCGTCTCTGGACCAGCTCTCATCTTTCTGGCATTCTCCTTTTAGTAGCCTGAGCTGGAGAACTTTAAATGGTGACTGGAGTTCTACTGTTCCTTCTGAAGTGAGGGCTTGATGTGTTGCCCAGGCTGGTCTTGAATGTGTAGGATCAAGTGACCCTGCTACCTCAGTCGACTGTGTAACTGAGAGTTCAGGCACACACTGCCATGTTCGGCATGAGACCAAGTTCCTAGCCTCTGCTCAGGAGCTAGGGCTTTGGGCATATGAGGTCACAGTCAAGGATCACAGTTAGGTGAGCCTCCTTCCTCTTTCCTCCTCTCTCTCAAAATCCAGCTGTCCTGTGCACCAGAACTGGCCAGGGTCTCCTCTAGGCTACCATGGTCCAGCTGTGGTCTGAGCCCAGCCCCCAGCCCTCACATAGGCAGTGCTGCCCTTCAGCTTTAGCTTTGGCCCATTCTTGGGACTTCTGCTGTTCTGTCATGTTTGGGCCAGGTTCCTTAGCATGTCTAAGCACAAGTGAGGGCCCTTGGGCATTAGGACTGAGCCCTCGGGGAAAGGAAGAATATGTGGAAGCCAGGGTCTTTGAGTGCCATCGGTGTTTATCACTGCCATCAGCCCTGCTTGCTCTGTGGGCACCCTTTCCTGAACAGCCTCCAAGGCCACCAGTCAGAGTAGTCCTCACTCCCTTAGTGGGGCTAGTGCCCCTTGCTGCAGAAGGTAGCTATGTGAGGCTTGTGGCAGTGAGGAAGAGCACTGTGCCCCGTTCTTGGATCTGACAGGCATTCCCTGGTCCCCTGGGCACCCTGGCAGTTCTCACCTTGTTCCTTGAGTCGGATGATCTCTGTGTCGGAGCCGAAGCTGTTCCAGGCTGTACAGTTGTAGATGGTCTGGAAGTCAGCACGTACAATGTTGCTGATGGTCAGTGTGGAAATGACACCCTCCTCGGTGCTCACCGTCTCCACTGTGTAGCGCCCCGATGTCCCTGACTCCAGGACGTTCTCCTTCCAGGACCAGGCCTGCCAGATCGTGGAGGGTTATGAGAGTTCATACGGGGACCATGGTGTCACCCCTACAAGATGCTGAGATAGCTAGGCTCATGTTCATAATCACTGCCGCACACCACCAACATAAACACATGTACTTGCGTACATATGCCACACTATACAAACCAAAACACACGACACACACCACCCACAGGAACACATTATCCATAGGAACATATAGGCCATACCAAACATACGATCAGCATGAGTACACAGTGATATGTGTGCATGCACATGTCCCACACTAAACACACACCCACGCATGCACATTATAGAACACAGACACTCAACAATACACATAGACATAGCAACACGTGCAAATACAGTATATATACACACTATGACACATACTATGAAAATCAATATTCATGTACAACACATCACACATCGTGTGCACACACACGTACACAAGCACACACACCACAAGCACTTTTGACCATGTGCATACAACAGAGACCATGTATTCAGAGGTATTCATTCACCATAGCACATCACAATGCACATGAGTGTATGTACCACAGTACAAATAAATACGTATCATGACAAATGAACACATGCCACCCCACCATATGTACACCACCCCATATCACACACTACATTGTGCAAACATACATACATGTTTATAGACACCCATCACAGACTGCATTCTACCCATACATATACCTCAAATACGTATACATACACGCATCATGACACCCAGTAGCACATGAGATGCTGAATTCCACCACCATGCACACATAAATATAGCACGACACACTGTGTACTCACACCACATCGCACACACCAAGAACGCATATCAGTGCACATACATGCTAATGTAGACACACATTGTTACACGTGTGCATCACGCATACTGCATGTACATGCGCATCCCAGTATATAGCACACACCCACTTTGTGGATACATATTCTGCTGCCTGTGTACATCCATACCCACACAGGTTGGTGACACCTCAGAGGATATGTCCTTCAGATACACAGGGTATCTGAAGGATATCTGAAAGATACCCTACGTAGCTCTGCATTGGGAATGTTTTCTAGGATAAAGAGGGAGGCTTGGCGGCAGCACTGGGGCCCTCCACATGGCCGCCTGTCTGGGCTTGCTTGCCAGTGATCCCTGGTGCTGAGCCTTGCTGAGATGGAGAGACTTTAACAGTTTGTTAAGGCGAGTTATTACTACACTGCTCTTCAACTCTGAATGTAACAGAAGAGGACCTTGACCTGCTTATCCACCTGTTTTCGACTTCCACTGTTGAGACTATGGTGTGGCCCATCACACCCAGTCTGGGGGACCTTGTTTTTAAAGGAGTATGTTTGAAATTGTATGCTCCATCATCTCCATCTCCCTTTGTTTACTGGGGCCAACCATGTCTAGACTCTTGCTCCATATTCGATGCCAGAAAGCACACGTGAGAGCTTGGCTTTTCTTGCTCTGGGCCAGATTCTTTCTGGCTGTGGGCATTTGTGGCCTCCTTGGTTCTATTCGCTAAGGCTAGTACCCTTGACCACTGTGACAACCAGGAAGGTCTCCAGACACTACTAGATGCCTCTAGGAGACCTAGTGAGAACTGCTAACCTAGAAATAAATAGCTATAAGGAAAGAGATGGTATAAAAATGCTCAAGGGTGATTGAGGGGGGTCTTTTACAGTGGCCATAAGTTATATTTATAATTAAAAAAATTAAAGAGTGAATGGGGAGACATAGGTTGTAGTTGCCATGTGCAATTATTTGCAATTTTGTGTGGATCTTTCAGACAGCAAATGAACCAGATGTCTGAGACAACATTTAACAGCAATAATTCTCTAACTGTGTCTTAGTTTGCCAGGCAGCATCTCTGGTACACATGTGCTCCTGTTTGAGCAGTGCCCAGCTGAACTACAGCCTTGCAGCACTGTTTCACTGCAGAGTTGGCCTCTGGGCAGCCTTCTAGTAAGACCATCGGTGATGGTTTGAATGAGAATAGCTCCCATAGGCTCATATGAATACTTGATCCACATTGGTGGAACTGTTTGAGAAGGATTAGAAAGGTGGACTTCTTGGAGGAGGTGGGTCGGGGGTGGTGGGCTTTGAAGTTTCAAACACACTAGTGCTATTCCCAGTGTGCTCTCTGCCTCCTATTTCCATGTCAAGATGTGGGCTCTCAGCTGTTCCTGCCTTTATGCCCTTATGCCCTTGCTCTGCCATCATGAACTCTATCTAGGCCTTTGAACTGTAAGAGCAATTAAATGCTTTCTTTTGTAAGTTACTTTGGTTTTGGTGTTTTGTTACAGTGATACAAAGTAACTAAGGCCCCAACATAGGGGCCAGGGATTACTAAAATAACACTTTCCTTCAGAAGTGCTACAAAACACTCCTTTTTTTCTTTGTTTTCATACTGAAGCAGCAACCAGTTTCAGATTTCTTTTGGGGGTGGTTCTTGCATTTAAAAAGATGGCTTAGTGGGTAAGGCATTTGACACAGGAGCCCAAAGGCCTGAGTTGGATCTCCAAAACCTATACAAATGTGGAAGGAGAGAACCGATTTCACAAAGTTGGCCTCTGATCTCCACTCACACACCATGACATGCACTCCACCTCCACATCCTACTCACACAATGATACCAAGTTTAAAACTTTAAGTCTTTCTTAATAAAAGAAATGCAAACACCATGGTGTAAATGAGGGTGGCCTGTCTGACCCTAGAGGCTGAGAGGTTGGAGGAAGAAAGGTTAATACAATGGTCATTTTCAATCTGGAAAGCGCACAGTAACTCTTGGATTTCAGGAGGAGAAGAGTGGAAGAGGAGGCTTTTGGGAGGTTCAGGGGTTTCTGACAGTAAACTGCATCCAGTTTACAGTTTTATCACATTGGCTTTGAGCCCAGGAAAGAAAAGAAATGGGTTGTCATTCTCCCCTGCTGTTTTCACTTGCGCTCTGCACTCAGGAGGCCTAATTCAGTCCGAATCATCAATGCCAGCACTTGGAGGCAGGTACACCTGTAAAGCTTGCCTGTTCTGAGATGGGAGGCTGCCTCCCCCTATTTCCTCTTCAGGTTACATTCTCAAGACACAGATAGGTATCATTTCCTCCCATGGAGAAGGGAAGCTCCAGGGTTTGCACTAATTTGCAGGGTACATGCCCAAGTGTTGGCAGAGGTGACCCCTGGGTGCCAGAAGTCAGTGCACGGCTCATGCCCTCATCACCTTCCCTCCCTGGAGCACTCACAATGCGGTCAGGAGGCGGTGTGCTCCGGATGAAACACTTGATCTGTCCCTTCTCACCATGGAGGGCATGCTGAGTCTGTGTGCTGGAGATGATAGGGGGTCCTGTTGGGAAGATGACATCATGTTAGGAATGCAGGAAGGGCAAAGCCCCAGCTGGAACCCTCTTCGATGGGTTCAGAAGTGTATTAACCAAGACAAGCACTCCCCTAACCTCTACAGTAGGCCTGTGCATGCAAGGCAGAGTGCGAGGGTAGGGGACCCAGAGATAAATTAGGCATTCAGTCACAAACCTCTCCAGGGACCACGAGTGAATGCTTCCAAGACAGAATTCTCCAGAGGACATAAATATCTAATACAAGGTGGTGAGTGTTCATACCACAGGAGCGGTGCAGATAAAGTACCAACTGGCTTCAGAGGAGAGAGAATAACTCTGACTGCAGATGGGGAGTGCTTTGCAAAGAAGGTGGTGAGCTTGGGAAGGGAGTGGAGGCAAGCACCATTATGAGAGAAGATTGCAGGGAAGAAGAGCAGAAGGGATGCCACCCAGCTTTCCTCTGTTGTTGAAAGTCAAGGAATTTCTTAGCTGTCCAGCAGAGGGCACACTTGCCTAAGAAACTGATGTCTCTGCTGGGCCAAGAAGGGAAAAGTGGTGCTGTTCCTTCACCAAGAGCGAGAATTACCCTGCAAAGGGGAAGCAGAGCTCATAGCCTTAATCCCATACAGGTCTCAGAAGAGCCTGTGGTTTACTGTCTTGTTTTTCTGCACATATACAGCCATGCCAGGTGAAAACACAGCTCCAAACCTGACCCAGTGTTATCCCAAAGTGTGTGTGCTTGCAAGAGGTGGGAGGGTGGGGGAGGGAGATCAGGAGAGAGACAGAGACAGAGACAGAGTCAGGGACAAATACAGAGAGATCTGTCAGCTTCTGAGGACCAGTCTCATCACATTGGGCAAGCCAAGAGATGTTACTGGGAGTGAAGTCTGTCTCATTGGTTCTTCCATTTACGTGCCCCTTATCTACACCTAACTTGGGCTAGGCCGGGCTGGCTGAAGAATGAGGGTGGGAATGAAAATCTTCTTGCATGTTCCCAGGCCTTGGAATGATGGTTGGGATTTAGACCTCAGAACAGAGGAAAGGTGGCTAAGAATGAGAGATCCTGAGAAGAGGCAAAATTATGCTGGGAACAAAACAAAAATTGCTGCAAACATAATTGCTATTTATTAACCACCTTAATTAAAATAGATTTGCATTTCTATGAGTAGTTCTCAGCCATGGGGAAAACAGGTATTGGGAGAGTTGGCTTCTGAGTTCAGAATAGAGATAGCTCTAGTGCACAAGACATGGGTGATCTCAAGGTAAGAGCTTTGCCCTCAGAAGGCTTTAAAGATGAGCTGAATCTTGCTTTCTTCCTTAGAGTTCCTCACCTCTAAGAAGCCCTTGGCCCCAAGCCACAGTGGCTCTACATTCTGTGAAACATGGAGGATGCTTTGCTTTGCAGCTGAACTAAGAAGTGATGATACCATAAAAATATTTTCCTTTCATTTCCCAGGAACTAGGAATCCCCCAAGGGGTTCACAGGGCTCTAAAAGCTGTCAAAAAATACATGCGCTTATGGGCTTCTTGAAAGAAAGAAAGAAAGAAAAAAAAAACTAGGATAAAGGAAACCAACGGGTAATTGGTACCCCATCTCCCCCTTCTTCCTGATGCCCTCTTGAGCCAGCTCCAGTCATAGCAGTGCCAATTCATGTTCCAAGGCCACTGGACTGGCTGTCACTCACAGGAGGAGTGGTGGGAGATGGCTGCATCCTAGACACCCAGGTCCACCTGTTCTCCAACTGCAGGCAGGACAGGCAAGCTCCCTAGCAGAAGTTGGCAGGTTCCTCCCTTTGGGTCATTTTGTCCAGGCCCCAGTCTCACTGTGACTAGCACAAAATAAACAAGGGGACAGTTTCCTTCCTCCTGTCGATCCCTTTGGTTGTTCTCCTAGGAACCTAGGAAAGACATGCAGGCTGAGAAAAGAAAAAAAAAAAATGGACAGAATAAATGTTGGCTGGATGCCAGAACCTAGGCTAGAATGTGGGTCCCTTTGAGGTGCGTGTGTTTCCCAGGAGAAAAGGAAGAATTATTTCCCCAAAAAGTCTTTTAAAGTTCTCATCAGGAAATGCCTGCTTGTCTTAAAGCAACAGTAAAACAGTATGTGAGCCTTCTCCTCACATACTCCTTTCCCCTAGACACAGCGATGCTCAGTTAATAGCTCCAGGCTTGGGAACTCTGATGAACATGTGTGTGTCTGAGGGTCCCTAGCCTTCAGGTCACAGCTGACAATAAGCACGGCATGTTGGCTCCTCAGCGCCCTCCCCAGAGAGGGCAGTGGGGAGGGCTGCCGATTTCACTGTGGCCTGGCGTACTGAGGGGAGTGTCAGACACTGGCTCGGCAGGAAAAGGCTGCAGCCTGTGTTGCCATGGATATACTGAGGCGCGATCAGATGCTGTTATTTTTAGCCCTGCAGTGCCAATTTATTGGTGGCATCCTGGGGACACACAGGAAAGGCAGGAGGCCCTGGGAGTCTGGGTTCTGCCTGGGAAAGGTAGTGTGTGAATGCTCTGGAGTCTGGGTAGACTGAGTAGACTGACCATTTCTCTACAGCAGTTGCCCCTCCCAGGACAGAAGAAGAGGAACTACTGCGCAGGAGCTGAGTAATGGGGACAGCGGAGGGGTGCTGAGGAGGCATGAAGCTGGTCGTGGTAGTCGAGCAAAAGAGAATAGATGAGCTTCTTGAATATAGTCACTTTGGCTCATTTCCAGGACTTGGCTCACACCCTGCTCTCCGGCCAGCACCCTAAAGCCTCACACGAGGGCCTGAAGCTCAGGTCTCTGATTTGAGGCAGACCTCAGTCACCAGCACACAGCAGTGCATGGTGGTGGAGGGGGGGGTTTAGGCCTTTGCATTTCTTACTCCTATAAACCGGCAGCCCTGATTCCTGAGCATAACCAAGTGTGCACTGTGCAGGGATCTTACAACGTCTGTCTTGCTGCCTGTCTTCTTAAGTCTGGCCTGAGTGGGTTCTAGCTTCTTTATTACCACCTCCATTCCAACATCCAGGTCTGGTCTGATATCCCCCAACCCTTCAGTGTTTCACGGACACATCTGTCAATGAACTTCTGCTATGAGCACACTTTCCTGCTGTGGTGACGTTCGCTGTGTGTAAGACATGCTCCGTGACCTCAGGGAGACCCCGTAGGCTTGGTCCCTGGAGACCGTGGTGTGTCTCTCTGTAATGCAATGGGAAGTGGCGGATCATGAGGAGTGAGAGGGGTGTCTTTAATCTCTCCATGGGCCTTGTCAGGTGGGTCAAAAAGTAGAGAAAGGAATATGGTCACCCTGGGACCTCTGACCTCTTTTTCTTGGTGAGGATAAAACTCATCACCTACCACACTCCTTGACTGAGATGATTTTGAAGGTACTGAGAAGGAGGAGAGTGTCCACAAACGTAACAGCTTGCCTTTACCTCCTTAGACAGAGTACTGTCTATAGACAGATAGGAGCAACAGGGCCTAGCGTCAGTGACCTCCCCTTCGGGGACAATACCTGGTACCAACATGTCTTGTATCTCTTCCTTCCCATTCCCCACTTCCACTGTGGTGTTTCTTGGAGCCCTTACCGTTGACAGTCAAGGTCACCTCTCGCTCCCCAGCTCCAACCCGGGGCACCACAGCCCGGCACACGTACTTCCCAGCATCCTCTTGGCGGACAGATTTGAGGGTCAGGGTCTTTTCATTGCTCAGGACCTAAGGGGAGGGAGGAGGATCAGACACAAAGAGTAAGGGAAGGCTTCCTTTGCCGGGGGTAGATTGCTGACACAGACTCTAGCATCTCTGTAAACACCCAGGTGAAGTGAGAGATAAGAGAAAGATAGTGCCATTAAGACTTTGAGAGGAGACCCACATACCTATGGAAGACCCCCTTCCAGATACGGGTCTGTGGGCATAGAGCATGGAGGTGGCAGGAGTGTGGGACTCCAAGGGCTTCTTCATATGAAGAGAGGGATGCTACCCTCCTGTGACCTCCCAGCTGCCCATGGGCAAATTTACCCCACAACTGAATGTGGAGGGTTCTTGAATTCAGGTTTTCTGAGTCATTTTTAGTATCCCCTTGGGAGATAGCTGGAGGTGATGATATGACCTTATCTTGGACACTAGCTATTTCCGGCTCCAGCATGAGATACCTGCATGGTATGGGTCAGTTGCTGACTATCTCAGAGGCTCATCCATCAAAGGAGGGTGATGACACCATCCGAAACAGGGCTATAACTGTGAGGAAATAATAGACCACCGAAAGGAAGCGCTTCTGCCGGTCCCCAAAGCACAGTGCTAAGATTAAGCGAGAGGTCCCCTACCTCACCCCCGAGATGGGATTTCTTTTTGTAGCCTTGGCTGTCATGGAACTTGGTCTGTAGACCAGGCTGGCCTCCAACTCATAGGGATCTGCCTGCCTCTGCATCCCAAGTGCTGGGATTAAAAGGATGTGCCACCATTACCCAGCGACTAAGGGTAAATTTATCCGGGGGGGGGGTGGTTTAGAAGTCTTTCTAGTGCTAGGGCAAACTGCGCTGGACATAGTGTGTTCAAAGTGACATGTGTACAGGCAGGTCTCCATTACCCAACTCTTCTTTCTGGGTCCCCTGGCTTTTTACAGAGATTAACTGCTCCCCCCAACCCTCCTGTCTGCTCCACTATCTATGTCCCATTTTCTGCCATAAATCCTGGAGCCTGGACTGAGGACTCACCACACCAGAACCCCTTTTCATCCACACAATGGTCAGAGACGGGTTGCCGATCCACGCACAGCTGAAGATGGCATCTGAGCCCAGATCTACCAGCAAGGATTGAGGCTCTGAGGTCATTCGGGGACCAACTGTGATGAGGAGGAAAGAGGAGATGGGTTCAGGAGGGCTGACAAGCTCTGGGAAGCCTTCTTGTTCTCTTCTCCTTTTCACCCACTTAGCCACCTCAATCTACTTCAGCCCACTTCCTTAAGTTTCAATTTTCTAACCTGAGGTAAGGGAGTGGGACTCTGGAAGTGAGGATGAAAGAGAGCCCTCTTCTCCAGGTTTGATCTTTCTGTAGAGTAGGTGGTCCCAGCCACAGGACAAAGGCACTTCGGCCAATTTCTACCTCCATTTAGCTCTCATCCCTTTCTTTTTTGGCCTTGTCCCATCTGGCTTCAGCAAGTTGAGGGAACCTCCTGCTACAGAAATCGTGGATACTTGGGATCATGACTTGAAATGACCTGACCCACCCTTCAAGGGTGTCTTCCACACCTCAGATTCCCTCCTTAGCCTTCTGGCAGTAGACCTGCTCCTGGCCCACTTCTGACACCTCTGCTCAGTATGTGCAAGCCCTATTCTGCCCTGTTCCAAGACATTGGCTGTAGACCAAGCCTTGTTCCATAGAGTAGCTGGGGTATTCAGAGAACTGCCCAGGAGAGCCTTGGAGCACCTCTTTGAGGAGACAAAGCCTGAACTCTGGAACTGGGAGACAGAGACTAGTTACAAGATGTAGCAGGTAAGACAGTACGTCTACTGACTGTGGGACAAAAGAGTCAGCGAATCAAGTTGGTGAAAGTGCTTTCAAAACTAATGGGCAGTATGTGAGCTAATTGGATATCTATGCTTGGGATATCCATCTCAGGCTGGCCTTGAGCTCACTATGTCGCCCTGTCTATGAGTCCCTTCAGTGGAATGTGGGTATAGGTGATGGATTTGGTTATTGCCTTGCCTCAGCTCTCACCCTGACATGTATTCACTGTGTGCTGTTGAGTGTCCATCATCCCCATTTTGGTAACAGGGATAATAAGATATAATTATGGACTGCGTGATTGTGTCATCCTCAGATTTATATGTTGAAAACTCGTGGCGTGGATATATTAGGATGTAGGGGCCCTCAGGAGGTGATTGAGATACAAGGGCACTAGAACAGTCGTGCTGGCTCTTGGTTCCTGCTGGCCAGCCCTCCCAGTCCACGGCAACTAGTCACTGTACTCTGAGCTTGTGCTGCCTCACTGGGATCTAAGTGAGAGTGATACTAGGAGGCGCTGTAAACACAAAATGGACACTGTGCTGTGCGCGACGAGTGTAGCCACAGTCTCAGCCAGACCCTGCCCACCACTGCTTGCCGCCCAGGACACCCTGAGTCCCCACACTCACAATAGACGTCCACTGTTCGGCTGAGGTTGGTGCTGCCCAGGGCATTGGTCACTTCACAGGACACAGGCTCTGAGAAGTATGTGTAGTCCACAGTGGTTCGATACAGCTCCCCAGATGCCTCTTTGATGATGTGACCCCGTTTGGCCCACCTGCAATGGAGGCCAGAGGTCTAGCGGGGGCAGGCATCCCTTGGGAAGCTTGACATACTCATTCCTCAAGAAAAGGAGGAATGAGCTCGTACCCACAAGGTGGTCATCAAGCAGTCGGAGGCACTTGACACGTTATTCGGGAGGAGAGTTACCTGCTGGCCATTCCACGGTGGCCGGGTCATTTGTTGATCCAACTCCCAGTCAACAGACAGCACTGCCGTACTGCTCTGGGCTTTCTTCTAGGCCCTGTCCTGGGCCATGTAGGAAAAGGAGGGCTGAGTACATGACATCAGAGATGAGGGCTAATGATGCATGCCCTATTCATGCATGTATGTTACACACATGATAAAGTCTGGTTTCCAGACAAGGTCAGGAGATGTGGGCTGGTGTTATGAAACCCCTACATTATGCTCTCACGCAGCAACTCTCCTAGCTCTGACCTTTCCCCTGCCCTGGCACAGGTTCCTCCTGTCCCCTGCCACCCCCTGGCTGGGTGGGGATCCACTGGGTAGATTTCTCTCATGAGCTGGTCAGTGCCATATTGGAAGAAAGAGACTGAAAAGCATCAGGCTTTGCTTGATCTTAGATTTGATCACCATGTCGAGCCAGCCACCAGGTGACTGCTTAGTGCACAAAGGGGTGTGTGTGTGTGTGTGTGTGTGTGTGTGTTCATGTGCAAAAGAGCACATAAAGTATGCACATATGCTCATGAGGGTTTTCACATGAACATATCCATGTATGCCTATATGTATATCTGTGTACATGAGGATGTGCAAGTAAGTGTGAGAATGTGCACATGAAGTTTTGCCTGTATGTACTTTCGAGTATGCACTTGTGTGCTTGGGTACACGGGGAAGTTACGTACCTATAAGTGTGACTATGTGTTTGTGTGTCCATATGTGGGGTTTGCATGTGTGTAAGTATACGTGAATGTATATCCACATCTGGACGTGAGTGCAGGTGAATAAACGCGCGTGTACACTTATGTATATGAGTGAGCGTGAGGATTTGCATGTGTGCGAGTATGAGTGCATGTGTGTATGCTTTTATTTGTGTGTGTGAGGGTTTGTATGCCTTCAGGTGTGTGTGCATGTGTGTATATGTGTGCCTATGAGGGATTGCATGTGTGAGTATGCATGTGTAGGCTTTTGTGCTTGTGTACATGTAGATTATATATCCCTATGGGGAAAACGTTTACAGCTCCTTGGCTTAAACCTACTGTGTATACCATTCACTCTTTGAAGACATAGAACTTTGAAGCAGGTTTCTAGGAATATTCAGCCTGTCTGGGGGCAAGGCCTCAGGGCTCCACTGCTGTTCCATGAACTTGCCACTCCCTCTGACCACTGCTTTTTCTCTTCCCTTCTTTCCTCTGTTCCTGGCCCTTTCTCGGTGACACTGGTTCTGTCTCCTTCCTCTCTCCACCAGCCCTTGTCTCAGTGTGGCCTGCCTAGGCCCTAGAGAGAGATGGCCACTCCTCTCCATCCCAAGGCACACCTAGACTGGCGCCATGTGGTTGTTATCTCGAATTAATATCGAGTGACTATTAAGAACACGATTAATAATAACAATTATAGTTTAACAACAGAGCAAACCATAGCTCCCCGAGAGCTTAAGGAGCTTCCCAACAAACCATTATGAGTTATTCATGAGTCGTTTCAATTCCTAACTTTAATTTAATGACCAGACTTAATAGTCAGGCACGGCCCCTGCCTGAGGTGGATTAATTTCGTTCCAGACACACAGCTGGGGATCAGTGCCCAGTCTGTACTCCTTCTACCCTGTTGAAGGGAGAGCTTATAAGTGGTGGGATGCTGTGGAGAGGCTGCTGAGGAGCTGATAGCTGAAAGGAGGGTGGGGAGAGGGCCAGCTAAGCCTTTTCTAGTATGCCTATAACACATAGCTGGGGCTGGGCCTGTGTCTGTGCCCAGGGGTGCTGGCTTACATAGGCAGGGTGTTTGCCCATGAAGAAGATGGGAGCTTCTTTCCTCTCTTCTTGGGACCCTTACTGGGGAGCTTAGGCAGGGCCATGCTCCCCAGGATCAGAGTGTCAAAACTCCTGGGGCCCTGCAGGGATGTAACGCATGATTCCAGGGTCTGTGGTTACACCATCTAGGCCAGGTTGGCCTTTCTTTTCACCCAAAGGAGACAGAGGGAAGGGAAAGAATTAGGATACAGCTTGCCATGGAAACTTTTCTGCCTCAGAAGAGATCTAAACCAGCTCATGGTGGGCCTCAAAGGGAGAAAAGGCAGAAAGGATGCTCTGTCCTGTTTCAGGGTCATGGGAGGAGGAGAGATTGGCTATAGGATTGGATTTAGAAGTCTGAACCCAGGAATGGTGGCTCCCCATCCCCCAACTCCTGAAGAGCTCATGTGCTGACTGACCAGTCTTTCCCCTCCTTACTCCCTTTACACATCAAACAGCTCTCTGAAGGCCCCTCCAGAAGCACACAAGCTGAGAATATCTCATTCCAGTCTTGGGCCACAGGGTCCCAGAACCAAAAAGCAGCTTCCTTCTTATGCCCCACATACTCTGCCCGCCCCCCACCCCAGTCTGTGGCTCTGCCTCCTCTGCCTGGTCCCCACCACCTCATCCCCACCGTCTCTCCCAGGTCCTCCTTGAATTGCTTCAGCTTAAAGCCTTTTCAATCAATGTCTAATTTGGTCTGAACAAATGTAAGAGGATTAATTATTTATATCATAGAATCAAGAGACCCAACATGTCACAGCTGCCGGTCGGAGTGTCAAACAGCTCTGCACGCTTCATCTAGACGATTGTGCTCTTTTATCCCATATTTGCCAAAGATCTCATCGAATAAAGCCCGGAGCACTTCCTGTTGTGCTTAAGCCTGGTCCATGAACCCATGCCCTGGGTTCCTGCAGGCAGTGAAGTGACTTCCATGCCCAGTCAGGGCCTATCTCCGGGTAGGGTTGAGAGAGGATACATGTCTAATTTTAGAGATTACAGCCTCTTAGGTGGACCAGGGAGGAAGCAATCAAGATGAGCGAATGGTAGAGGCAAAGATCTCTGTAATCTTGTCAACGTCATTTGAGAAAAATCAATGTACTTATGTTATAGATTTGTTATAGATATAGAAAGTGTTTAAGGCACTTTCTCCTGGAAAATGTATGTGGGATGCTGGCAAAACCATGTTGGAGGGAAGGGGCTGAACAGGAGCCCAAAACCTCTTTTTGCCTTTGCAGCTCAGCTCAGTTTCCCACCTCTTCCTTGGGGGCCAGAAGAGCTCGTAAGGCCCTTTGAGGCCTACAGCAAGCCCAGGCTGGTGCTGCCACAACCATAGAACCTGCAGCTAATCAGAAGGCCCTATGGACCCGTAGTAAATAAGAAGAGTGATCATCTGCAGGGGGCCCTACCACTCCTTTTCCTCCTCTTACGTGGGATTCAGAATTCATCAGAGTATTAGAGGAAGGGAGGGGATCCCCCAGAACCCAACGATCTAGGGAAATTGCATGCTCTGTGTTCGTGTATTATAACATTAGCTTGAAGAAATACAAATTTCAAAAAGAAAAGAAATAATTTAATAATTTAGTTATTAATTTTATTAAATTTAATAATTTCCACTAGCTGCCATCTTTTCTTCACCTAGATTTGCTAGTTGACTATGTTTGATCCCATGTGCTTCAGAATGATGGCATCCCTGCCTAGGCTCACACTTGTTCCTTAGTCTTGCTGTTTTGCGTCTCTGAGTGAGGCCCAGCAGCTGGGTTCCCTCCTGAGGCAGGAAGGCAGATAGGTAGAGGGCTTCAGGCCTTTTGGGTGAAGGCTGCTGACTATCTGGGCATGCTGCCTTGCTTTCTGCCCAACTGATCACTAGGCCGTCAGCTAAGAGGGAGTCTGGCAGCGCCATGGAAATGGGGAGTTGAGTGTCTCAGTGTCTCTCGGGATCCATAGGCATTTTGGGGGATTGCTGTGATGGCCAATGGACAGGCTATCTGCCTGTCTGGTGGGGGATACTTATGGATGAGAAAGTAGCTGGCATTTGAAGTGTCTCCTGGGAACAGCATACCTGTCTAGGGACCCTGAGCTGACAGCTGGGAGCAGATAGAAGAAAAGCATAGGGTTGGCGGGTGCAGTTAGAAGTTCAGAGACAGGCACCATTTTTAGTTCCTTTTGCATCTTCTGTCACTTCTGGATAGTGCCAGATCCAGGTCAAACCAGCCTCTGGACCTGACTGGACCATAGGATCTCTGGGAGTGGGAGGTGACTGTCAGAGATCCTCTGATCTTCTTGCTTCCAGTGTGGCAAGGGTTAACTCAGGAGGGATGGCTAGAGAGGCTGTGGATCCTCCTGATTTCTGGCCCCACTGCTGCTCTATTAGCCACACTGCAGGGAGCCAGCGCAGCTCACTCTGTCCACCCTGAGCCTGCCATGGCTTTCTCTGTGGCCCATTGCCCTTTCTTCCACCTGCTGGGACTGCTCAGCCTCATGCCTCATGTCTTCCCTCTCCTCCATATCCCTAGTCATTGCTTTCCTTGTCTGGGACCATTAGCATTCTTGCCACTCGCAGAAGCTGCAGTGTAATAGCTCGTATCCATAGTGGAAGTGATGTCCTGGGCTCTGCCATCAAGCCTGGGCTGGTGGGAAGTTAGGGTCGTGGGAATCTCTACAAATCATCTAAAGGAGTGAGCATCGTGCACCTGTACTTGGACACCTTTGAGGTCACTTAGTTTTTGGAATGCTGTGTGAATGTGAATCTCTTATGCACAGGCAGACAGGTGCCCAGAGGAGCAGCCCTGAAGGCTTATTTGATCAGATACATGTAACGAATGCCTAGTTTATGCCATGTGACACACTGCATGCTGAGAGCCATAAGTGACTAAATTGCAGCTCTTGCCTCCAAGAAACTCGGTCAGAAGGCGGAGACAAGCATGTGAAAAACAGTGATGCCTTTATCAGTTTTGTGGATGAGGACACAGGGTGAGGTGGTGGCTCTGCAGGATTCCAAGTACCCTTAGGGCTCTGACCAGCTACACAGCGCTAAGTACGCTGACTTACTCATTCTGCTAGCAGTTTCAACATTTGTCTGAGCTTTGGTCTGTTGTTTCAGAAAATATGGCATAAACAAGCCATTGAAAGAGGAGGGGCACCCCTGGCTCCTTGGCAGAGGAGGTGCATGTGAGCTTGAAGGAAGGAGAGAGTTTGCTTGGCTAGCAGGCAGATCTGCATGTGGTGGCCGGGGGTGGGAGGAGAAGGCTATTTGGGCACCTGCTGTGAAGCAATACTGTGGCCATGTGTGACACCCCAGATGACAGGCGTGGTGGGGGGAGCCCTAGGCCAAGCTGTCTTCACAGCAGTGGTGCTCACCTGTACTGGGTGACAGCTGGGTTGGCCTTCGCAGAGCAGTGGAACGTGACGATGTTGTCCTCCAATACCGGCTGCGGTTCGACCGACAAGTTGACAAGCGGGGGATCTGCAGGGAGAAGAGAGTCACATACAGTCTGGGGGAAGAATAGGGCAGGAAGGCACGGAAGGGCAAAGCCGGGATACCACCACCCAGGAACCTTGGTGATGGGCTCCCTGGTTAAGTGAAAGAGGCCTCAGGCAAAAGGCGACTTTGCTTTTTGGAAGTGGCTGCTTTAGGTAGCCCCAGGTGCTGGGTGCAGGTCCCTGTGTGACCCAGGTCTAAACTGAAATGAGCATCTGTCTCTGATGTATTGGCTTCCCAGGCCCTGGATGTGTGCAGCCTAGCTTCAACTTCCACTCCACTTGTGGGGAGGGCACTCAGCCCACTGTACGAGCTTTCTGTCTGTGAAATGTCTGTTTATTATCTCCATGTAAAAGTTGTGGGGCCTCTGGTAGCTCGAAAGTGGCGTTTACACCCTTTCATCAGCACAATCATCTCTGCTGATTACTGACTGGTGTCACCAGTCCCTCAGCATCCCGAGCTGGGGCGGCTTGTTTTCTCATCTGATGTGATAAGAAGCCACACTCTGAAGTGCTAAATGGTCTGAGGTAGAGGAGATGGAAAGTGGGCAATGGGGAGCCACACAGAGAGACCCACATGGAAGGGTTTGAAGTGGGCATGGCCAACTGGGGGAGGCAAAGCACGTAACATAGAGGACAGAAGTGATGACTAGAGGGAAGGACAGAGAACCCGGAGAAGCAGAGACAGCTGCAGAGATGAGGAAGAATGAGGGAGACAGAAAGGCACACAAACACACCCACTGAGGATTGCAGAAGGGAAAGAAGCGGAAAAACTAGAGATGGGGTAGGAAGAGGGATAAAGAGTGACAGGGAGTTGTGCGCAGACACACATCCAGATTGCACTGAAATCAGGAAAGCCAGGGAGAGCTAACACATGGAAAATGATAGGGCATTGGAGAGAAAGAGCACACGAAACAAAGAAGATCACAGGAAAATGGGAAATGGGGGTGGGGTGGAGGACAGAAGGGAGGGAGAGAGAGACAGAGAAAGAGATACAGAGACATAGAGAGACAGAGACACAGAGAGACAGAGAGAGACACAGAGACAGACACAGAGACAGAGAGACACAGAGATACAGAGACACAGAGACACACAGAGAGACACGGGGAGAATGATGGGGCTAGTGGAACTTGAAGGTCTGCAGCAGACACAGAGAGGCAGACCTAGGCTCAGGGAACAGCCTGCTGCTCTGGCTTTTTCCTTCTCTTGTAGTCAGCTTCACACTTCCCGCAGAGACTGGCTCATCCTGACACTGTGCTACCTGTAGCTCCCAAGCCTTGACACAGCGCTTTCAGGCACCATGACACCCAAAGTGAAGGGGAAGGGAGACACCAGCTAAGGTAGGTCTTTCCTCAGCAGGGACTGGAAGCATGGCTAGAGTGCAGTTCCAGGCTGCGTTAGAAGGTGCTAAGTCCTCATGGCCTCAGTAGAACCCTGGGCTTCATCTCCCAGGCCAGTCAGTACCTGGTGGTGAATGGTGGGGATGGTCACAAGGACTGTCTGTGGATTCAGTCCATTCTCAGAAGCTGTGGAGGGTATCTGTGAGGGACACCCCAGGAAATGACTCTACCCTGGTGCTCTGGGCTCCTGGTTCAAAATTATAGGAGGACCCTGAGAACCAGACCAGAGCTGTGGACTGAGCTTGGGGATTGAGACCTTTGTCTGCTGGATCTCTTCTGTTAGCTGCTGCTCAGGTTGAGTGCTGGGTCGAGGCACAGGGGTGGAGTTGGGCCGATATCTGCAGCTGCCAGCAAAGAAACCCATTTCTGAGCAGCAGGTGGCAACCTGTGCTTGAGGGTCTATTCTCTGTATGTTGTCTCCTCCTTCCCCAAAGGAGACTGCAAGCAGGTGGCCCATCTGGTACAGGAGCAGCTGGCCTGTGTACCTTTGTATTTGGGATTCCAGGAAACCTTGGGGTGCTGTAGTGGGGAGCTTAAGCCTCCTCCCACCCCGAAGCTCACAGGTTAATGAGCCAGCCTTCAGAGACACGTTATTGAAGGGGAATTGGAAAGTTTGAGAGGGCAGGGACCTAGTTGAGGTCTTGTGGGATTCCACTCTCTTTTCCTATGTTCCCTGGCCCTCAAGCGACTGCCTCTGCTCCAGCATACCCCCCCGACATGAGGGGCTATTTTACCACATCCCAAGCAATGGCACCACCTGATCGTGAAGCAGATCATCTCAATTTGTGAACAGAAATAAACTTTTTTTTTTTTCCTGTCTCAGGTTTTTGCTCTAATGGTAGGAAGCTGAGTAGTACAGGTAGGCATTTCATTCACCTCAATTTTGATTTTCAAAGCGAGATTCAATGCCTCACTGAGGTATCTGTGGCAAGGGACCGCCACAAGAATTCTCCTTCCACTTTGTAGACTCGTAGTACCTCTTGCTGCAAGTCCTACAGCATCTTCCCAGTGGCTTCCTGGCAGCTTCTGAGGCAAGGCTGACTCAGGACTCTCACTGTCCTGGGAAGGGCAGGGTGGCCAAGCTGAGCATCCCTCCTCATAAAGAGGTTTGTCCCAAGGAGTTTGCTAATTGCTGTTGGCCCTCCCGCCCCCCCCCCCCCCCCCGGGCCTTGCTAGCCTCCAATTGTGAAATCCAGTCCCAATGGGTGATAGATAATCTCAATCCAATGCTTGTCTGATCTGGTGGTGTCAGGTTAAGATTTTCATTATGGAGCTCAGGAGGGAAATATCAGAAGGGTCATCCTTCACCTAGTGTTCTTCAAAAAGTGATGACTCCTTGGGAAGCAAGAGGATGGAGTGCATACCTGCTGGAGGGCCCTTCTTGGGTCCTCACTTGCAGAATTTTCACTTAAAGCCCTGTTACCAGTCTCTTCTGCTTCTTCCCTCACATTTGCTTTGCAACACGCTTGGTCCCTAGGGCCTTAGGAGGATAGACCCATGGGGTTCCACTCCAGTCAGTTTCATTTGCATCTCTATCCCCAGGCCCCGGGATGCCATGTCTCTGTTTCCATTCCTCTCCTTAGGATGTGCAGGATGTGAGTTTCTAGGAGTCTGCCAAGTTCCAGAGGTATAAATAGTTTATGTCATACCCAACTATTAAACATGATTTTAATCCCACTTGAGATGCATAACTTGCAGGAGGGTGGAACTGAGATCACATTGAACAGATGTTACAGCTGAGAGTCTGTTAGTGTTTCCATCAGCAACCTGTGTGTGTGTGTGTGTGTGTGTGTGTGCGCGCGCGCACATGTGCATTTTCAGGGGAAGTGTTGGGGGTGCAGAGAGAAACTTCATGACTCAGTGATTTTATAGTACATCCATCTGAAACTTGGCAGCTGGACACAGAGTCCAGATGTGCTGATGCTTGGGTGGGGGGGGCTATGCTTTCCCCCCATTACTCAATCTGGGGGCTTTGTCTCCCGTTGGGTAACATATAAAGACCAAGGGAAACAAACAACAAATGTGCTTTTTGCTGAGTTTGGAGACTTCTTGGTTGACTGAGAAAATGAGCAGGATTGCAAAGGCGGCTTGATCCAGCTTGTGGTGTCCACCGCACACAGCTGGATGCTTACTTAATGAGCAAGGGAATATGAGAAGAAAGGGGGAGGAGGAAGAGAAGGAGGAGGAGGAAGGGGAGGAGAAAAAGGAGGAGGAGGGGGAGGAGAAAAAGGAGGAGGAAAAAAGAGGCATGGAGTAGGCCTGGGCCTTTTCTTGTTAGCTTTTCATAAACACCTCCCAGCTAGGGGAGATGGAATGTTGGGTCAAATAGATACAGCTGTGATTACATTTGGGGGCGGTGTTACCACACACCTGTCACAATGGATTTCAATCACAACATACACTTTAATCAAAATATGTCATGCATGGTGCTAGGGGCTGACATGAATGATGTAATTTAATCATAACCGCGACCTTAAAAGGTAGACATGGTTCCCTTCATGTACTGATGAGGAAACTAAGGCCCAAATGAACTCACTAGTGAGGCCAGTGAGTAACTGGCAATGCCAGAATTCAAACTACAGAGAATGTTGGACTCCGACCACTATTCTGCACTATCTTGGAAGGATCTCAGCTGGGAAACCTGAAGCCTGGGTCTAAGCCTCATGCTGGCCTCATTCCTGCATCCTTTCCGGTACAGCCCTGTTAACTATGTATCCAGGTCAACCAGCCCTCTGTTTGGAGGAAGGATGTATTTGAATGTAGATGGGATGCTACTCTGAAGACATTCTTGTCACTAGGTTTTCTTGGGGCAAAGGATAGTGGTCAGGAGCAGAAATGCTGTTTGTTCTCCATCCTTCTCTGTCAAGGTCCTGACTTCTGTCCTGGGGTATCAATTATGTTTATGTGGGACTCTAGCTGACATAGCCTCAGCCTGAGTGGGGCTAGGGAGCAGAGCAGGAGTGCCACAGTGCCACAGATGGCAGCCAGGAAGCAAGGGACTTAGATAAGCATTGTCTCCTACCCTCATTTCCCCCAGATTTGGCTGTGTCTATGAGAGAGCCCTCAGCTTTGATTGCTCCTAGAATAGGAAGAGTCCTTGGATGTCATCGGCAAATCAGCAAGAAATCCGAATTATCAGAGAGAAGTGACAAGTCTAGAGCCTCCCACTTCACGGTAATGGATCCATTCTGAATGTTGAAACACATGCCAAACGTGCAAGCATCTTACTTCCTTTCCAGAGCTGGGCTTTGCTCACCTGCTTGTTGGGTGGTGCTAAGTCCCAGGGTGGGAACAGGGGCCTGGATGGAGGAACGTTGCCCTAGTTGCTTCTCTCCAGCCTCTTTGTGCAAGTGTGTGTTTGTTTATTTGTTTGTTTGGGACAGGGTTTCTCTGTGGAGCCCCAGCTGTCCTGGAGCTCACTCTGTAGACCAGGCTGGCCTCAAACTCACAGAGATCCACCTACCTCTGCCTCCTGAGAGCTGGTATTAAAGGCGTGAGCCACCATGCTCTCCAGCCTCTTTTAACTTCCCAGCCCTAGGTTTGGTAAGAACTCTGTGGTTCCCACTTTCACTGAGTGAGGAACGGAAGAAGCACCGTGGTAGTGGGGCAGAGGGATTGTTAGTAGCAAATGGCCACACAGTGCAAGTAGAGCCTTCCCCAAAATGCTGTTGTTTTGCCGGGGTGCTTGGACCCTACCCAATACTTAACAAATACAATAAATGCCTCTTCTTCTTTCTGCACTTTAAAGGGTGTCAGTTAGGATTTGTGGTGCTGAGAGGGAACTTCTGCCCTCTGGCTGTCAAAACAGGCTCTGAGATCCCTAAGACAGTTCCCGCTGGACCCGTTAACTCTGGAGGGCTGTGTAGAACCCAGAAGCCCCAAATAAGCCAGGGCTGTTAGAAAGTGTTTTTAAATCCATCAGTATTAGGGGCCTGGAGAGATGGCTCAGTAGTTAAAAGCGCTCGCTGTGCAATCGTGAGGATGAGGTTTTGAATCCTAGCACCCACAACAGGCTGGCATCCTCACACACCTGTAATTCCAGCTTCAAGGGGGACAGCAGGATTGCTGGGGGGTTAATGGCTTCCAGCCCAGCAGAGAAAACATTCGACCTGGTCACCTTGAAGGAGGAGGGGAAGCTGAGAGAAGAGGACACTCCATACCCCCTCCTGGCCTTTGTACACACACACAGGTATGTGAGTCTGCCTATACACATGCACATACACTCACATGGGCTTGTTCCAAGCCTGGACTTAGTCAGGCCAAACACGACATGATCGGTTGGTACTCACGCTGGATGTCTATGGTGACTGAGGTCTCCTTTCCTCCGGGGATGGCTTTGTTGGTGGCTCTGCACACAATACTCTGTCCGTTTTCTACGTCTCCTGGGGAGATGAAGAGGGTGCTGACAATGCTCTCACGCTTGCCATCTCGAAGCAGGGTCTGGAGAGAGAGGTGGTGAAGGGACAGAAGGCCTTATGTTACTGAGCTGAGGTGGCCTGAGAGGGAAAGACAGACCACAGCTCAGAGAAGAGACAGGAGCTGCTGCAGAAGGGGAAAGGAACGAGAGAGGTTGCCATGGTGTGTGAAAACAGCCTGGCCTTGCAAGCCAAAAGCTTAGCAGAATCCTGGCTTAACTTAATGGAAGCCAGGTCTCGGGGAGGGCCTTTTTAAAAGTTAACCAGCATTCATTCTGCCCCTGGTGTTGGTGATTCTGCAACAAGCAGAGTCCTGGTGGATCTGCAGCAAGCAAGGGAAGAGGCTGCAGCAGACAGAAGTCTGTGGAAGGGTGACACGGTTAGGAGCACTGAGTTAGAGACCGGCACAGGTAGGGCTGTTAGCAGCCTGCGTGCACCCACCGTGGGTTGTTTTCCTGGGTGAGCCTTTGCACCTTCCCCAGTGCACTTCCTGATCTCAGTAGAGCTTCCACTACAGCACAGCACGGCTAACGCCGGTGCTTTCCTTTAGACCGGGCAGGACACTGGCAGGGCTCATCAAGACAGCAAAACTTTCCCAAACTCATGCTCAAGTTAGTGGTAGAAGGTAGCACTTCTGTGAAGGGTTGATCCCTCCCACCCCCCACTTTTGTGTCTACCCCAGTTCTAGAACAGGGATTTGTTTGTAGAGGAGACCATCCTGATTTCAGGAAGTGCTCTTTCCTGCAAAGGAGACGACACAGAGAGGCTTAGGCAGCCTCTGAAGTGATGAAGACAGAGACTAGGATGCTCCTGCTACAAACCAAGGGACACTGGGAGCTGCCAGGAGCTAGAACAGACATGGAAGACCTTTGCATAGCTGAGGCCATACAGCCTGGGCGGCACGTTGGCGGCTTCAGAGTTGTTAGTTTCTACAGTGCAAAAATGCTTGGCCTTGAACTCACAGGATTCCTCCTGCCTCTGCAGGATTAATGTCAGGCACCACCACTGCCCAGCCACCCCAACACTGCTTTAAGCACCAAGTTGTGGTGCCGTACTATCTGCTGTGGATGCATCAAGAAATGAGCACAAGCCAGGGGTCTTTGCTTTTCCTTCCTGGATCCAGTAACTAACCCATAACTAGTTCCTCAGTTTTACTGCCACCCCTTTCACTTGTCTGTCCTTCTTTGCAGACACTTCTCCATCAGTTTGCAGCCTTTTTAAGATAGACACACATAGGGGATGGAGGGTAGGCAAAGGGCCACGGCAGGTGAGATTGGAGTTGGTTCAGGCTCAAAGGCTTCCCCTCTATGGAAGGAACTTTACATCCTACCGGGAAAGGGGTGGCCGGATGCAGTCTTGTTTTGCCTGGATTGGAGCCAGGTAAAAGCGCTCATAAAATAGCAATAGCTTTGTATCACATTCTCAGATTGGTTGCAAGGAAGTAGCATTTTCCGTACTTTGCAAGGCAATGCTGAGTTCAAAGTGAACTTACTGAGCGCAGCTGGGACAGACTCTGATAGGCACCTGTGTTACAGATGGCAGGCAGCACAGTGACCAAGTCCCACAAAAGCCAGTTACTAAGGTAGTTGACAGCAGCCCATAGGCCACCAGAACTCCAGGTCCTCAGCTCACCTGGCCCTTCCTAGCTTGGGACCAACCTCGGGGCCCTTGGGATGAATAGAACCTGGATAAGTGATTCCTACTGTAGGTCAAGCCCATCTGCAGCATTCTAGAGTAGGACGGAGCAGAGGAACAGCGCTGCACTTTCTCCTGTAACGTAAACCTGGCCAGATTCAGGCTCTGTGGCTTGAAACTTTCCAGCACTTTCTGTCCTGGCAGGAGGGGTGTTGTTTCCAACCATGGCAGAGGGGCTAGTGAGAGGGATGTGGCCTGGTCTGGCAGTCCGAGTGGCCATTCTTAGTAGCCTCCAGTTTGCAGGTCAGCCTCTGGGCAAGAGGCACAAGTGGAGGTCTCAGAATAGGGTTAGAGGAAATATAATTTAGCTGTAAAGCAAAGCCAGTGTGTGGAGGGAGCTGCAGCCGGCACCCTATTACCACCCTGGCTTGGGGCTGCTCAGTAGACCTCACCACCTCTATAAATAGCTAAGCGATAATAAGAACAATTTCCTGGATGAAAATAAGACCTCCGGGTAGAATGAGGGGAGGAGGGAAGTGAAGGGGAGGGGAGAGGGTGAGTATTGTTCTACCATGTCCTTTCCTTTCCTTTTCTGAGGTGCTAACAAGGGACATTTACATAAGTTTGACTCAGCCAAGAACCCTTCCAACTGATGGTGGTGGTGGTGGATGTTGGCTCTGATGTTGGTGATGGGAGTGGGGCTGTGAGGGTGGGGCTGAGAGAGGGAGCAGGGAGGCCTAGCTCTAATTAGGCCCTCTGACTGCTTTTCCTCCTCCCCAGCCCAGCGTGCTCCTCCGCCTCGGAATGATGATTAATGACATATTTACTGTGTCCAGGCGGGTGCTTTTCTGGGAAATAAAAATTCTGGTTCAAGTTGTTTGTTCCACCTAATTAGAGAAAAAGGAAGATGTGTTCATTAAACAAAAAGGAAAATGAGGAGAAGGCGAGTGCCCCAGGAGTGAGCTGCCCTGTAGAAGGCCCACTGTGTACCTACCCTACAGCAGTGTGTCTGCTGCCCTCTCAGGCAGCTCTGCTGACACAGCTGGGGACTGACTTTGGGGAGGGAGGCCAGAAGCTCTAAGCCTGCAGAGCTGCAAGGTGGCTACAGGTGTATCTTGGTGGGTCTGTTGGAAATGGTTCTTGACAAAGTTCCTTTCTGCTCCCTCTCCCTTTTCTTTGTACCCCAGTGCTGCTTCCTGTTTGTGCACCCAACTCCACTGATCCATTCCCGAGGTCACTGAGCTGGCATTTGTCACTCTGGTTTCTCAGGTCTGGCCTGAGTGTGGACTGTGGGGGTGCTGAGTGCACTCATGGGGCAGTTGCCAGGTGTGGGTGGCAGATCTCTCCAACCCTCCCAGGGCCTCTGGTGAGCAGAGGAAAACCAGACGAGCCCTTAGAAATGGGCAGTCTGAAAGCAAGGCAGTGTGTGTGTGTGTGTGTGTGTGTGTGTGTGTGTGTGGGTGGGTGGGTGTGTGTGTGGGTGTGTGTGTGGGTGTCCCAACTCTGGTGCTAAATATGGGCTGCTCATTGATATGCAAACAGCCTGGAGAGGCCTTGAGCGGGCCTGATTGCCTGGCAACAAGGCCTTTTCTCTTCTTCCTCCCCAATCACCTCCCCCACCTGCTGCGTCTGGTTTTTTTTTAATCATCTCTCTGCTGCCCCTTTTACAGACGTTTGAAGGGTCTATACAGGCAGACCTGTTGTTGTCTGGGCTGAATGGGAGTGGCACAGATAACAGGTCTGTACAGAGTCATTTGCCTGAGATCCTTGATCCAACCTTCTGCCCCAGGGCTAGAAGAGATGTCATTTGTAGATAAGGTGAGCACAGGTAGCATGGAATAGATAGAGACTCTGGGCCCCTAAGTTTGACAGGTCAGATGCAATGTGATAGAGTGACTGGAGGAGACAGTGTGTACCACAGCGAGTGAGGGCCTGGGGGATGTGAGTCTGCATCTCCTTCCTGAGCAAGCTCTCTGGAGCTCATCTGAGCACAGGTGTGATGGAGACCATGGGGTGGCCGGCTGACAGCCCCTTGAGTAGGCAGGTGGCCGAAAGTGGAGAAAACAAAAACAAGTCAGGTAGAAAGATGTATTTCCTAAAACGAAACCATCTTCTGTGTGGCCCCTAGTCAATCACCACCCCTGGAGAAGTAGCAGAAGGGGTGCGAAGAGTGCTCCCAGGGAGCGGTTTCCTTTGGGCTAAGCCTATACTCATCTTCCACTTTTATAACCCATTCCTTCATCCCTGGGTTTGTAGATTTGCTCGCATTTCAGACGCATGCTCTGTGACATCCGTTCTTGTCTCCAGCCACAGGGGAAACTCTGCTGGGTAGATGAGATGCAACACCAGCAGCCTCGAGCTCCAACTGTCTTGCCTTCCCCACCTCAGTGAACCCTAACCCTCAACTTTGAGCTACAATAAACCTTCTTTCTTTAAGTTGCTTTTGCCAGGTTTTTTGTCACAGTAGTAAGAAAGATAACAAATACAGCGTCTTCACTTTGTGCTATTCTCCTACCAAGGAACTTTGAAAGAACTACATTTGCTGGAAATGGCGATGTACAGCTTGAATCCTAGCACTGGGAAGACAAGGCAGGCAGATCTCTCTAAGTTCAAGACCAGCCTGGTCTGCAAGGTAAGGGGCAGTTTAGGCAGGGCTACATAGTGAGACCCTGTCTCAAAACAAAACAAAATAAGCAATTCACATTTATTTATTTGTTTGTTTATGGATTGTATGTATGCACACATGCCATAGTGTTCATGAAAGGGGTCAGAGGACAATTTGTGGGTAAGAAAAGTTCTCTCTGTCATGTGTGTCTTGGGGATGGAACTTGGGCAGTCAGTTTACCTGCTGAGTCATCTCATTAGTCCTACAAGGAACTTTGATGTATGATTTATTTTGAGCCCTGTGGTAACCCTAACAAGTGACCATGATTTCCATCATTCCCACTTTGCAGTTGGGGAAATGGAGACCAAAAGATTAAGCCAACACTGGGGTTTGATGGAAGGCTAGCCTGCAGGACCCTGTGGACTGCTTTGTTTGGATGCTGCCACAGCACCTAGAAAATGCAGGTGGCCGGGTGTGAGGACCCAGAGGACCAGTGACGGTTCCAACAGCTGTACTTATTGCAGGCTCAGTCTGCCAGGCGGGCTCCTGGGTCGTGCCCCCAGCCATCCCTAGGCCTGGGTGCTAATGATGCTCTCAGGTACAGATGAGGTTCAGACGTGGAAAGTTTAGATCACACAGCTAGAGGGTGGTGGAGCCTGGAATCCAGTTTAGGTCACCCCGCTTTAGTATCAGTGGGCTTAACTGCCACCGTGTGACAAATATTGTAAGCCTGAGGTCTGAATCTGTCAGAGCTGCTTCCTGGCAACTTCCCTGTGGACCCTGTCTGGGTGGTTGCATGCACTTGTGTGTTCCTAGCCTACCTCTGATGTCCCAGCGAATCTGTCTTTAAAAAAAAATATATTAATTTATTTTCAGTGCTTTGGTGTTTTGTTTTGCATGTATGTCTGTGTGAGAGTTTCAGATCTTGGAGTTACAGACAGTTGTGAACTTCCATGTGGGTGCTAGGAATTGAATCTGGGTCCTTTGGAAGAACAGTCAGTGCTCTTAACCAATGAGCCATCTCTCAGCCTGCTATTCTGCCTCTGTAAGTTACGTCAGAAGTACTATTTGGCTTATGACAATTGTCTTTGCAGTCCTGGAGAAGAAATAGCCTGGGCTGAACTTCTGTGAGGAGATGGGCTGAGGATTCAGTCCTTTACCATGGGACATCTTGCCTGTGTGCATGTCTGCCCCGCACATTAACGTACAGTCCAAGGGTTTGCAGTTTGTCTCAGCTGGAGCACTTCCTGAGTGTCTCTTCCAGCTCTTTCATGTGCAGAGGAGAAAACTGAGCCGAGGAAGTAAGTTGCTTGGAGTTACAGAGAGCAGGGCCTGGCAGGGCCTGGCAGGGCCTGGCTTCGGGCCCAACTGCCATTCCCTTTGTGACAGTCCAAGTAGGGGTGGAACTGGGCAAGGTCAGGCCAAGTATCCCTTCCAGAAAGGCAATGTGCCAGGCTTGCTGAAGCATCTTCATCATGTGAGTGAGAAGGGTTGCTGAGTAGGCTACTCTGGAACAGGTCTCATAGGTAACCCTGACCCCTGTCTTCACGAGATGAACCATGTCCTCTTCTATTCATATATCCTGGGAAGCTCAGGCTGGCCTAGCTTCAGAGAAACCCTGGTCAGGCACCTCTAATGTACAAACACCCTCCTCTTCCTTCCCAGCCTTCCCTGAATGACCTTGGCCCCTCGGCCATGGGTTTGTCTTTCCTAATATTCTTAAAGTGTGACTCCACCCAGGAAGTGAGCAAGAGGACTCATCTCCCAAGAGAAAACATTGTTCCTAGGATGGATTCAGGACCAAGAGAAGACATTTGTTTAAGAATCTGGCCCCCGGAACTGGGTGGTAAGTCAAGCTTTGATCAGCGGCCTTTGGCAGGAGAGTCAGTTTGGGATGGGAAGAAACCATCCTTAGAATAGGAACAGCCTTTCCTCGAAGCCTCTGCTGATGAAAAAGGCATTTCTTCTTTTTAGGACCCATGGAGAGGAGCCAGCTGGGGGCCAGGACTAAAGAACAAGTCCCCACCTTATCATCTTCTGAAACTGAGGGTCTTGTGTCAGAGTCCTGGAAAATTACACCCCAGTTTCAGAGCCTGGAGGCTGCTTTGCCTGGGGACCTGATAACTGTTTTAGTTGTGTTTTGGGGGCCCATAGAGATCTGAGCCTGTTCTGGGAGAGGCCCAGAAAGAAGAAAACCCAGGGGACAGATCTTGGCTCTAGTTCTGGGGCTGCTGGAAGACAACTGGTCAGTGCAGGCACTTTAATTCAAGGTTCCAGTGTTCTGTCTCTAGACAAAAGAGCTTGGGTCAGGGAACCTCCAAGCTCTCCTTCATCTGGAAGGCTCCACAGGACATAACCCCCACCTGGGAGTGCATAAAGGTCTCCTGGGGAGGTGTGTGGCACAGGTTATTTCTGGCCGAGTTCATGAACAGTTAGGCCAGCATATGAGGAAGCCGCCACCATTGCAGAGATGGCTTGTTCTTCAGTTCCCGAGAGGAAGGGGCACGGCAAGCCATGCCACACGTGGCCACGGGGAGTGCGGTAGGGAGTGTGTGGTGATCCTTTGTTGTGGTTTGTGGGGAAAACGGATGGTTGAGGCAGGGTAGGGGCTGCACAGGTTTAGGGTTGGAGGGCTTGAATAGCTTTAGTGGATTCTGTGCTGTAGAGAAATGTCATGTCTGTGATTCCTGGCCCTGGACTACAGGAGGGAGAAAAAAGGTAAGCATGGGCTACGGACTCTTCATGGGCCAAAGAGTAAATAGCAAGTTGTTAACTCTTTCTGGGGGCCGGTTAACCTGGACCGGCCTCTCATCCCAGGATCTCTGAGGCCACAAGCTGTCAAAACATTCTAAAGACAAGAAACAAAGCAAAGGGGTACTGCAGTTTAGGATGCTACTGTGTGAGTTAAAGAAAAGCAGCCCCATAGGCAGGCACTTCAGGGCACAAAGCTTAGATTTTAGCCCTTCGTGGTTCCTGTGCTGCCATCGCATCAGGCAGCAGTGGAAAGCAGTCCAGATTTAGCAGATCAAAACATAGGATGACCTGTTAACCTTGGCCTTCAGATGAACAATTGTGTAATGTGTTAGTATGACTATGGTTCATGCAACACTTGGAAGAACCACACTAAAAATTAGCTTATTGTATTTTCTGAAACAAGTCTTATTCCATTCAGGCTGTTTTTAACAAAACATTAAAAGCTGGACAGCAGCAGGACCACGGAAGTAATTTTTTTTTTTTTTTTTAAATATAGTTCTGAGGGCCAGGAAGCCCAAGACCAGGGCAGATTGATTGAGTGTTTGGCAAGGGCCAGATACCTGTTTGTTAGTTGCCGTCCTCTCACAATGTCTGTGCATGGGGGAAAGCACAGGGGTCTCTCTTGGGCGTCTTTTATAAGAACAATAATCATAATCACGAGGAGGCCACGCTCATGACTACCTTCCAAAGGCTCTATCTCCATCCTCTTGGGTCTTAGGGTTCAAAACGAGAAGATTTTTCTGGTCGACAGGGACAGTTATTCAAAGGACCTTTTATTAGTTGTGTCAACCCTAGGCCTGGCCGCTCTGCCTCAAGTCTCCTCTTCCGACCAAACCTTGTTCTAGGGTTTTTACCTAGAGTTACCCTGGTTAGGGCGTAAGATGGGGAGGTGTGCGAGGGGAGACTACTGGAAGAAACAGCCCGAGAACGAAAATAAACAATAAACTAAACAAACAAACAAAACCACAGGGAGAGTGAAACAGCAACAGAAGCACTTCTGCATGCAGAGAGACAGAGCTTCCCCTCATGCATCTGATTCCACCATTCTTGCCTCCCTTTATCCTTTGTCCCACTGCCCATCCCCAACCCCCAGTCTCTCCATCAGGCTCACCTTAGAGTAGGTGGCCCCATTGATGACCTCTCCTTTACGAAGCCAAATGATGGAAGCCGCAGGCTTGGCATTATCCGCGTGGCAGGTGAGGTTGAGGGGGTCCCCTGCCCGAAGGCTGATCACAGGTCCCCCTAGGATGATGGGGTCATCCGGTGGCACTGTGGGGAGAGGAGTGGAGAGGTCAGGTTGGGGCAGGTCTCTACTTAACTTGGCAGAGGATAATGAGCAATAATTGTTATACTCTGATAGACGGACACCCCCTGTATTGCAATGATAGTAATAATAAAAGGGTGCGCTATTCTTTTATTGTTCACGCAAAGAACTAGCCTGTGCGATGACAGGCAGGTGCCCTTAGCTTGTTGCACAGGCCTGGAAGCAGTGCTTTGCAACTGAGATACCAGGTACTGCAGGATCTTTATTTTCAACTAAATTTTTCATTTTATTTTATTTCTTTTGGAAAATTTTTGGTTGTAGGTTGCACATGCGTGCCAGTGCTCACAGAGGCCAGAGGCATTGGATCTTCTGGAGCTGGAGCTAGAAACAGTTGTGAGCTGCCTGATGTTTGCACTGGGTTCAGGTTCAGGTCCTTGGAAGAGCAGTACCTGCTCTTAGTAACTGAACCATCAATCCAGCCCCAACATTTTTTTTTCTTTTCTTTTTGCCAAGCTTTGTCACATCTCTCACAACAGTTTTCCAGAGAAAATACTATTTTTATCCCAGTTACATAGACCTGGAAATAAAGGCTCACCACAAGACTTGTTCAAGGTCACATGCTGAATGTATGGCAGAATTGGAGCTGGAAGCCTGGCCTTTGACCCTTCAGCAGGCTGGCTTCTGCCCTCACAAGTCACAGGTGACAGGGCAGGTCTTTGGCTCTTCAGAGTTTGCACTCCTGGTCTTTCCTGAGCTCTAGCCTTCAGAGTAGCACCTGAACCTTGATCCCTACTCAGAAGGAGCCTCCCTATTCTGATATTTTAAAATTTAATTTAATTTTTTTTAAATTTTTTTTTACTACATGTACTAGTGTGGTTGGTGATTGGTGGCCCCATCAGATATCCATAGTGTCAAAGAGGGAAGGGCATGGGAGTGACCCCTTCTTTGTGGAGTAAGATCCCTGGAGGTCCAACACAGTTCCATGCCTTGAAGCAGCTCTGCAGACATCCACTGGCTCCGATGAACCACCTTTGATTCCCATGGAGACTGCACTGTAGGATGGACAGGTATGGCAGGAATAAATTTTTATTTGGTAAGAAAGCTCTGTGATGTCAATAGTTGACTCAAGGATACACAGTTTCTTGTGAGGCTGCTGCTTCTAGACATATTGAAGTTTTCCAGGCCTTTACTGCTCCATGAACAGCCATAGAGGAGCTGTGGCTTCATGGAGACCATCTGAAGAGACTGTTTCCTGAAGAACTTCTATCTGTTCTACTGAAGGGTCTATTCAGTTAGCCCCAGAGGCTGAAGGGGGCTCAGGGACTCCCCTGGCACACCAGAAGTGGGAACTTTGAATGTTGTTAGGAATAAAGGGGAGGTGGGTGATCAGAGTTTGAAGATCTCGAATAAAGGTCTGCTTATGGGCTTTTAGGGACAAGCCATCCTCCAGCACACCCCTGGGCAAACACTTATGCTTGTGGCTTGCAGTGTCTTCTAGCTGCAGCTCAGAACTTGCCTTCCTCCCCTCTGTCAGCCCCATCATCTAGTTGACTGGACTTCCCTAACAGACTGGAAACCCCATGTTTGGCTAGGCCAGAGCCCCAAAGGAGCAAGCCTTCAGAATGGTCACCCCACCTATCCTATCTGGTCCTGGCAGAAGCCTGGCTCAGCTCTAACATCACTGAAGAACCATCTTCTAATGGACCCCAACTTTGTAGGCCTCTGGGGATGGGACCACTTATTTACCAAAACCAGCTCTGGATGCCAAAAGGATTCTGGCTGAGGGAGAAAGTTGCCCTTATCTAACCTTCCATGCCCATAGCTGTGAAGCCAGGCCTCTCCAGGAGGTCCTGGAGCTGCCAGGCTAGAGGAGACAGGCGGTTATGGGCTGGACACTGAAGATCATCACTTGTGCCCACTGTACCCTCTTATTAGTGCCTGTGGCCTTCTTGGTATAGGCTTGGCCAGAGAGCAAAAGGGGGCTAATTAGGGCTTTCCATCAGCGGGGGTGTGGCTAGTAACTGTTGAAAGGGCTTTCAGCTTCCTGAAGTGGGGGTGAGCTGGGCCCCTCCAACAGTGAGCCCTGGGGCTCGCAGTGTTCTGTGGAAAGTCGGGTGGTCCCGCACAGCTCTCAGTGGCAGCAGCCCTCTCCTCAGTGCTGGATGCTCAAGAGAGAGGGACTCACACTCCTGAGTTGGGCTGGGACTAGAATTAACTGGTCCCAGAGCAGAAGAAACATTGGCCCTTTTGGCATCCTCTGCCTCGCAGTGATGAGTCAAGAGACATGGACAGCAGAAGGTGTCCTAGGTCAGAGGATGACAGGAAGGCAGGTCCCCCTCTACTTGTCAGTGTCTTCAGGCAGAGAGTGTGAGCGTTTGCTCTAGCATTGACATCATGTTGCAACAAGAGGGGTTTCTGGGGAAGTTTCATCAATCCTGTTGCCCCAAGCTCTCTGACCAATGAGACCCCAGAGCCTGGAGCTGGATCTTGGCATCAGGTCTTTTAAAGCTTCTTCCCCAAGATGTGGGAAAGTAACCACATCTGAGTACCAGATTTCCTCTGGGTTTTTGCCTTAGGTGCATAGAGTTGTTCTGTATTCTGATCAAGGTGTGTGTGTGCACGTGTGTTCTTCCTAGACTCATGCTGGAGGACTTATTCTTCCCTTCCCTCCTGCTTCACCAGTGTTGTGCTGAGGAGATTGCATTAGCAGGACTGGGGATGAGGGAAATCAGGAGGGGAGAGGGACTGTGTTTGTGGGAGTTCTTAGGCACGCACACACATTCACACACACAAACATCCACCCTCAGAATGGGTCCTGATTACATCTTCCCAAATAAGTGGTTATCATGCTGGTTATTCATGTAGCCATGCATTATTGATTGGCCTTCGCCTCGCTGCACACCAGATGGGGGTGGGAGGGGTAGGTGGGGGTGCAGTGGGTGGGGCGGGTGGGTGAGGAGGGAGGATGTTTGGGGGCCATCAGCTGAATAGAAATCAACACTCATTCTTGGCAGCTGTAGCTCAGATGGGAGGTGTGTGTGTGGGGTACTCATTACCTCTCCATTCAGATGGGGCCCCATTGCTAGGGCCATGTGGGGAGGGAAGGAAGTCTCAGAGAAGCCTAGGCCTGGAGATGCATTATTCATACATCCTCTCACAGGATTGGTTATTATCCCGAACTACTATAGAGTTTGGTCTCCTAATTTTTAATCACAAGGAAGGTGGAAGTGTTAGCCTTTTTGTGATTAATCTGGAGATAAAAATAGTTGACTGTTTTGGTGTTGCTCCTGTTGTCAGTCAGGAGCTAAATTTGCATTAACTGATAGGGGACTGAGGCCTGGGGAGCCCAGACAGAGTCTCTGGTTTCCAGCCTGCTTCAGACTGGGCCAGCCGGTGTGAACATACTTTACCCAGCTGGCCCCTGAGCAGAGGAGAGCAGACCCTCCCATACAGGTCTTTGTCACAGGGGTGGTAGCTCTGTATTTGGCCTTCCTGTCTCCCAGGTTTTGAGCAACACCTAGGGTCTCTCCTCCTGTTGTTCCCTTTCTCTGGCACCTGCCCTATAGTGGGCAGTGTGGGGCGTCTGTGCGGATGAGGAGACCCTGAAAACGCTCTCTGAGCTCTGCTGCCAAGAATAAGGAGGAATAGGGTGGAGAGACGCCCCACAGCCCGATTCTTCATTGACACGAGGAAACTGAGGCCAGAGAACAAAGTTAGCTGGCATGAAGCAAACAAGGAAAGGAGTGGATTTGGAAGGCTCATCAGGGAAGTAAGGCTTCTATTTGTTGATAAATTAAGCCACCACCCCCTTCATCAGATTTCTGCATCTCGAAGCTGTAAGGAAGCACCACTGAGCCTGACAGTTCTCCCTGGAATGGCCTTGAACTTGGAGCTGGAGCTCTTGGACAAGGCTTCTTCTCTTGCAACATCAGCTTGATGGAAGGTTGCCTGGGTCTAGGGTTGGAGGACTGTTGCCCCTTTCTGGGGCTTCTGTCAACTCACTGCCTTGGTGTGCAGTGACTCTACAGAGCCAAGCTCATGTGACTCATTGTTCTTATGAGCTTGGCCAGTGTCCCTGAGCAGGCCAGGGACACTGTGTTGGGGCAACACTGAGGGAGTTGTCTCCCATTGGTCACCCAACTGGGGTCCTGCCCTGTGAGTCAGCAGCACCCATACAGAAGGCTTTGTGTGGCCACAGGAAGGGTGCGGGCCAGCATGGGGCAACTCACAGAAGTTAGCCTTTGGGGGACACGGCTGGTCTTTAACTGATCAGCAGAACCTGAAGGGTCCTGTCCCTGTTCTTCCTCAAATCCTCTGGGGCTCCCCACTGTACTTGAAACATGACTTGGACTCAGTGTTGCCCACAAAGACTTTCACCCATGATCCCTGGTGCCCTTGAGACACCGGTCCACCCATCTTTCTTCTTCCCCAGGATCTGGCCCATAAGCCTGTTTGCCTAAGGGTCCATGATGGTGCCATTTGAGCATTGCCTCCTCAGAGAAGCTTGCCCTGGCCACCCTGTGCAACAACCTCATTGCTTTTCATAGAGGTATCCACATTTTCTTCTTCATGACTGAATAGCAAAGGATGAGAAAGACCTTTTCTTTCACGGTCCTCATGGCAGTGCAGTGCCTAGGTCAGTACCCAAATCCCAGGGTCACTGATATACACTTGTTGAATAAATAGCGAAAGATCTTGGGAGGAAGCACAGATACTGGTTTATAAGGTCCTTGTTTTTATAATCTTTTCCTCCCGCCCTCTCTCCCGCTCTCTTTCCCTCCTTTCCTCCCTCTCATCTTCCTTCCCTCCCAGCCATGTGTGTGTATGTGTGTATGTGTTTGTGCATGTGTGTGCTCATTCAGGGCACACTTAGGGGGAGTGGTAGACAAAGTCATTCCTTGGTCTGGCTGGACAGCTGTGGAGGAACATCTGGTCTAACATTCTTAGAAATGAGAAGGCTGGAACTGAGGAGGCATGGTATCAGAAGTGGTTCATAGCCTGTCTC